AAACAAGTCTAACCTCTGCTCAGAGGCAATCATTCATCCCAGACAGTCTTTCAGGTAAACAACCTGTACCACATTCAGATTACACTGTGTGCTTTATACATCTCTAATGACAAGTCCCTATATGCTCATTCTGAATCCCTTTGGCGAAAATGTGTCAGTAGTCTGAGTCACACCTGATAAACCTGCACTCCCCCCCCAGCTCCCTCCTGCCTCTGACAAAAACAGCCAAGTTTTCGCCCTCTGGGCCAAAACTCCATGCTGCTTTACGTTTAGTGTCAACAGTTGTGGAGCTGAGGAGAGTTTATTGCTATACAAAGTTCAACTGTTGATTGTTATCAGCAGAGTAAGAAAGGCAGAATCAGTCATACTGACAGTGTTTGTGCATTTGTAACAGTGAAAACAGGATAGCCTGACCAACTGCAAAGTACTGGTAACTTTGATTCAAAGACATTTCCTCAGCTCTTCATTGTTGTGCATAATAACAACGTTTAGCAAGAAACAGTATAATGAACCCACTACACATGCTTCCTCTGAGTCTGTGTTGTTTTCCCTGCCTTTCTAACCTGCATTAGTGTGCAGGGAGTGTGGTGACAGACAGATCATCTGTTACCAAGCTGCTGTTGACTCATACAGTACAAGCAGGACCCTTTGCAGCCTTTTACCGAGCCAACTGTGAGATGAATCAGTCTAATGACTGTGTTGAACAATGATAGCAATAAATGCTTTTAGTGTTTTCGCAAACAAAACAAAAAAAACCCTGCACAGACAAACTGTGCTGTGTATGTACAGACACACACTCCTATCACTTCCTGCTCTCCGAGGGACGCTGTTCGAGAACAGACAGGAACAAAACAACACACATTCAGACAGATTAACTTTGATTAGATTTTATGATCTCTCTCTATAAAGAAAGTTCTTATTATTTTTTAAATCCCTTTTTACTGACACTGAACTTCACATCAAACATTTTACCATTTCATACATTTTTGAACAGAAAAGAAAATTAAGATAAGATACGACTGACTGGTTTTATGTCTTTCTACACACGCAGTTTATTATTGAAAATTTAACAACGGAGAAGGAAAAAACTAAACAAAACAACACACAGAAAATACTCTTACCCCCCAACTTCTGTTGGAGTAGAGATTTGAAATATTCTAACAATGTAGCAAGTGAAAACAAACTTGCGATGAAGCAATGAACCAAAAGGTTCTCTGGTTTGCACTTTCTATAATATAAAGTCTAAACTAACTGGAAAGAAAGTTATTCTAAACCAGTAAGCATATGCCAGTTCTTATGATTCCTATAATGCCTATGATTCCCATGTTTATTTCCTATTTTAAAAAGTCATTACCGATGTTTTCATAAGTACCATATATCACGCTCAGCCTCAGTTTGACAGAAAGGTGTGTATTCAAATATTGCCTGACCACATCACCTGTAAAAATCCTTCTCCCACTTGTTCAACCAAATTTGAATAGAATAAAACTATTTTCTCTCCACTCAGATCATTTTGGATTCATTTGTCGAGGAGTTTATTTCTTCGGTAGAAAGTAGTTCCAATGGAAACCGTTCACAGCGAGGTCTGTGAATGATCCTGACTAACCCAGGACATTGTTTCTGGGAAAACACATTTTTTAAACACTGTGAGCTTCCCCATAGTTTTGGGGGTGGTGACAAAATACACAGGGAAAATAAACCAAAACTATCTGCATGGCTTGATAGCACAGTTTGTATCATTCCCTTAAATTTACGTGGATCAACTTTAATATCAAATATTATGCGTGGTACTCACTTTTATCCACTATAGAAGCTGTAATACAGTTTGTTAGACTTAGAATTTATTCCCTAGGTAAGCATCGTGACTGTACTGCAGTGATGTATCCATTTCCAGTCAGATGCATCTTTGCAGTTTGTTTTGATGTCTCTGCTCATGTGACCCTGACGACCTCCCTCACCCCTCTGCTCAATGACTCCCCCTCCAGCTGCAGCTAAGTTTGGCAAGAGGAAACTGATATCCCTTCCTACTCTCTGTGCCCCCAAATCGCACACACGAGTTGATGAACTTGTACACTGTGACGCTTCTGGCCTTTCTCCACACGTGCATGTAGGAACAAACACAGACACACATGCAGAAAGTGGGTTAAAAAAAAAAAGATAACCTTTACTGTTGCTTCCAAGACAGTCCAGTACAGAGCAACACTGCCCTCTACAGGTTTATTGGCTTAGAACTCACCTCTCTCTCTTTCTTACTGTGTTATGAACAGCAGGCCCATGCTTGCCTCATTCTTTAGTCATGTTAGTATGACACCATACTCACATGTTTTCTTACTCACTAGAATTTTCTTTCTACATTAAAGGTCCAGTGTGTAACATTTAGGAGGATTTATTGGCAGAAATGGAATATAATATTCATAGGTATGTTTTTTATTAGTGTATAATTACCTTAATAAAGGACTTTTGTTAACTTAGAATGAGCCGTTTTTATCTACAGATGCAACGGATCGCCTTCCATGGAGTCAGCCATGTTTCTACAGTAGCCCAGAACAGACAAACCAAACAATGGCTTTAGATAGGGAGTTTTGTGGCCACCGTAGTTTCTCCTACACGCTTCAGAGCCTGTTTTTATTCCCAATTTGTCAAGATACAGATGCGAGTGGTGTTCAATGCAATCTGCAACTTCACCACTAGAAGCAACTAAATCCTACACACTGGTTATTTTACCTCTGAGGTTTCACATGTTTTTTTTCTGCATACACAAACTTCTCAAAGTCTTTTTTTGGCAAACTCTTACCTCAGGAGAAAGTTATGTTATAGATGGAATACGTCTCTAAGGAAATAATTAAGTCAGTGCAATATCTCATTGGTGAAAAGTACACTAACCTAAACCTTAAATCTTTGGTGTAGCAGTTTGCTTTACTTCGTGGGCAGCTTTTCATCCCTAAATGGGAGGTGAGACTCCCAAATGGGATTTTTTTCCATCACATAATTGTTATGCGAGCACACACACATTCAGATTTGTCAGATGGCTTAATTAGTCCAGAAGCCTCCCCAGACACATAAGACTGAGACAATATCTGTGACTCATTTCATATTCTTCACCAGCCAGGATCCAAACACACTAACACACTGTGAAATTTCAGCTTCATATGGTTCCGTAACCAGAAACATCTGCACAACTCACACATAAATAACTACCATTACTTTGAGAATAAGAGCCCAGTTAACAGACTGAATGATGGTATATTGTAGTTATTTTTTTTTTTACATAAACCTGTAAGACACATATTCAAACCAATAATAACTAATAATTATAATAACTTTTATTTATATAGAATCTTTCATACATGAAATGCAGCTCAGACCGTGTTACAGTATGGCATTAAAAACAAAACAGTAAGAAATACAAAAAAAAAACTTCATAAAGATAGAGTCAATGATCTGATAAAAAGGCATTAATGACGATAGAGGAGAGATAAAGTTGTAACACATTAACTGCAGATCTAAAGTGTTGGAAGCACAGTTTTCCCGCTTGTTTTGTGGGATACTTTTAGGGCTGCAGTCAACCCACTCTTCAATCAATCAATTGGCCGATTTATCTAGGTTAACTAAATCTGCCACAGAGCCTTTTTCAAACCTAGCCATATTGTGTTTATTAAGTAGATTTACATACAGTAGCAACACACACGCATACACACACACACACACACACACACACACACACACACACGCATACACACTCTGGCAAAACGGGTTTCAACAAAGCTGACGCAGTACAAAGCGATGCAGCTCCAGACAAAGCCCCATGTAAAAACAGCTACCGCCATCCAACCTCAGGCTCTCGTTATTTAGTTGGCTTCAAATGAGACGTTCACACAGTTCCTCTCGACTCTCCCTCAGTTTTACAACATTAGTCCAAATTCTCCCAGCCTGAGGCGGTAGCCACTTAGCAACATGCTAAAGCAAAGTTCAGGAGGCTAAACAACACAATTAACACTAAAACAACATAAAACATGATCCATCACTGAGCTCGAACCTTCCAATGAGAGTTGGATGAGAGCACATCGACCGACCAATCGACCAGAAGGTGTCAGCCCTAGCTCCTCTTGTTGGCTGATCTGGGGTTAAAAAGTTAGTAAAATGACCTTAAAATCAACTCTAAAAGAAATATGGAGCCAGTGCAGGGAAGCTAAAACAGGAATAATGTGCTCTTTTCCTCTTTGTTAACAGTCTGGCAGCAGAGTTCTGTAAAAACTGAAGTTTCACAATCGAGTTTATGATAGGTGAGTAAAGAGTGCATCAATCAAACCTGCTTGTAATAAAGTCATGGATTAATGTATCATACTTTGTTAAGAATAGTCATACTTTGGCAACATCTCTCAGGTTCAGGCTCCCACTTGATTTTTTACTGGCACTTTTTATGTTTTGCTACTTCCAGCCATCGGGGCTCATTCCCAAATGTGAATCAAGGGTCAGTGTGTGGGAACAGAAGGAAAACAGCTAGAACTAACCGATGGGTGTGCGAATAAACAAAAATCAAGAATCCATCTGCACACTGATAAAACACAAGAAGATATTCAGCGCCATGAGGTGAATGTGATGTTTTAAATGTCACTTCCTCAGTGAACCCTAACAGCTGAGTCATCTGCTATGATACGGTGAAAACACTGACCCTCGCTTAGGCCTGCTGCTCTCATAACCCTCATGTTTTAGTCTTGACACACACACACACACACACACACACACACACACACACTCATAAACATTCACAAACACACACACAGCTGCATAAAGGCAGTCATAACTGTTTTGAATAATTGATCACTAGTGAAATTGCGTGGCTCTAGGGTTTCCATGCTGTCATTGTCCCTGTTTCGGGTCGATGGGTGGTGAGGAAAAAGTAAACTTCTCATGTGAGTTACTCATCATGTACCAGCCCCTCAACACACACACATATATAAACACACACTCCTTCATTCCCATGGCGCTGTGTGGGTTTCGATGAGCTGCATCCATCCCTGTGAAAGATGCAGAAGGAGAGAGACCACTGAAACCCTGCAGCTCTTTCATTTCAACCTCACGTATGCACCACTGGATGCTGGGGCAGCTGCTTTAAGGGGGTACAGGACCATGAGAGGAGGATGCCTCGAGACAGTCTGATCACCTCTGAGAATGACAGTAAGACCAAGCTGCTATTCTGGTTTTCACTTTGTGTGACGCAGGAGTTTTTTTAACGTGTTGATGTAAATTCTTTGTGCCTGTTGTTATTATCTTATCTTCTATAATACGTTCACTGGAAAGAAATATTACTGATTATTGAAATAAAGCAGCAGCCTTTGGTTTCTGTGCTCATGGTGTAGTTGTATTCATAGATTTGAACCTATTTGTGGACAAGAACATCCACATTTATTGAGTTAACAGAAGAAGTTCAGTAATATGAGTAAAAACCGTGTGGCTACTTACACTGGACTTCTGGTTTCAATCATCAATAAAAAGCCAACGATTGAAAACCTCAGAATTTTCTCGCATCCTCACTCAGCTGCATATTTGGGAGCTGGCCTCTGGCCCTTGGCTGTCTCCCCCGTCCTTGTGGGCTTAGCCACCCCGTCTCCCTTCATTAGGCCATTGTTTGTCTCTTTTGTGCCCCTCTGCTGCACACGGCCGTAATGACCCGTGTGCCGGCCACTCCGGTTACACTAAGGACACACACCAAAGGGCCGACTACATAAATATCTGCTCAATTTGTCAGTGGTCCTCTTTGTTTTCCTCTCGATCCCCCTTTACTGCAGGACAATAGAGGCAGGTATACAATAAGGTTAGGCTAAGCTCTAGCAGTGAAAGGGGTCAGTGTCCTAAGAAAAGAAAAAGAAAAATGGACTGTATTTAAAAAACTGTAGTCATCAGAGGAGGAAGGGCTGGTTATGTCATAGAGGGATTATATATACTTTATAAAAAAAAAAAAATTCTGATTACCTCAGGAAAACATTATTAAAGCAGAAATTAATAAAATAATACAAATAAAATATATTAAATATTTCATATTGGAGCATGTTTTCAGAAAGAAGTTTAAATAATGGTGCTCATTCAGCTACAACACTGTAAAAATGTATTTATATTATTATATTCTTTGGCAATATTAAGGATTACAAGTTAGTCAGACTTTAAAATATAAACTTTTCAGCATTTAAAGAAGTCAGTCTCTTGCTCCAATAGAACTGTCCCGATAACCTTTAGCTGTTAACAAGAGAAAGTCTTGTTTATTTGTTTATTTTGTTGTTTACTCCATGTTTACTTCATAACCTCTCTGCACTGTGAAATCTCATTATCTGCTGTTTAGAATAAACTCCTCTTTTATGATTACCTCGGTGTAATTAGACAAGTCGGTGTACATGCTCTTCTCTTGACTATTTAGTTCCCCCAAAAATGGGCCAGTAATATTTGCACATTACCTCTGCTGCTTAAAGCAGGGAGTAATATCAGTAAAAGTTTCACCATCTTCAATCTATGGAAGCATCGTTTTAATATATAATCACAGTGTAAAGAGAGAAAGAGATTAAAATGAACTGCTGTTGACATGAAGTATGGATGTAAATTAGCATAAAATTAATAGATTAGTTGTAACAGTGTAGAAAATTTACATTTTCCCAGTGAAATAATCTCTCTCTCTCCTACAGTTGACATTGGACTGGAATTTGCAGGTGAGTGAGTTTTTATGTTATGAATCACTAAAGGTGCCTTAGGGTAATGGATGACAAACTTCACATTACTGTAAGATAATTTGGTGATTATGAGTTTATATTATATTATACGGTAAATAAATCTGTTCACCGTGTTACATTAATGCTCACTGCAACATTTAACAAACATCTGCGCCTTTACTGCAGGTGACGAGGATGAAGTTTCCAGTTTTCAAGAGGAACATGAGAGGGAGAGACACAGAGCAAAAAGAAGGGACGGTGATAGAGAGAAAAAGAAGAGGAGGAAAGGGAGGAGAAGACGAGCATCAAGAGCAGGAGAAAGAGAAGATGAGCTACAGGCCAGGCATGAGAAAAGAGAGGCGGGCAGGAGAAAGAGAGCAAAGAATTATCAAGAATCAGAAGGAAGAGAGAGGGACGAGGAGGAGCAGGCCCAAATAAAAACGGGTAAGACGGCAAAAACTAAGAAGAACATAAAGAATGAAAAAACAAGAAAAGTGGAGCAGGAGGAGGGAGAAGCTGAAGAACGAAATGCAAAGGGAAAAAAGAAACATGGGAGTGCCAAAAAAGAAGAGAAAGACGAGGACGGAGGTAAATGTGCAGCGAAGGAGAAGACACAGGAAGTGAAGAAGAAAAAGCACAAGAGAGTAGTTGAAACAAGGTAAAGTTGTAAACTGTTTCACAACTATCATACACACAAGAAAGGTGCAGACACGTTAAACGCGCTGCCCTTCTGTCCCTTCAGCTCAGAGCAGGAGACCAGTGAGGAAGATGTCAATGAAGAAGAGGACAGTGAGGAGAAGGAGCTGAGGCCAGAGTCTCTGTCACCGGAGGAGCTGGAGAAGCTGAAGGAGGCTGTGGACGAGAGGAAGAAACTGATCCAAGGTCTGAGGGGGAAACCCTGGTCAATGAAAAAGAAACTTGTGACTTTGAGGTAAATTCCCTCACCGCGTTATCACTGAGGTTCACTTTGAATTAGGATCCTGGAAACAATCAGAATCCTTCTCAGGATCAGCTGTAATACAACATGTGAGCCGCAATTCCCTCTGAATCAAATCATCCTCTTGCTTGTAGGGAGTCTCAGGAGTTTGTGGAGAAATATGAGGGAGCGCTGGGGAAAGGGAAAGGCAGGAAGCTCTATGCGTACAAGGTCATGATGGCTAAGGTATGGAATCACACACTCAGGAATCACACAGCATTAAATGACTATGTTATATAATAGTGATTTATTGCTTTGTTTGGTTTTATTCTCTCTTATTTTGTATTTATTGTATTATCTTTGATTATCATTGTCTTCCATCTACCATGTTTTTTCTTGCCTTTGTATCCTGCTTTGTCTGTCAAAGCACTTTGTAAACAGTTTTACAAGGTGCAATATAAGTAAAGTTATTATTATTATTGTATTGAATACATGATTTTTTAAAATTTATTTGTCTTTCTTTTGTAGAAATGGATGAAGTTTCAACGGGACTTTGAAAACTTCAAAACTGCCTGCATTCCATGGGAGATGAAAATCAAGGAAATTGAAAGTAAAGTTTGGTTTATTTCTCAGAATTTTTTTTCTTCCAAAAAGTCTGCAGCTTCATGTCGAATATTCAAGACTTATACTATGAAAGATGATTTATATACTGTGTGCAGTGCAGTAGCAAGGGCTTTCTACGGTGGCTGACAAGGGCAAAACGCTGCAAACACAGGAATGATGCAAAACTAAAAACACACAAACACATAAAACAAATGCAACAGAAAAACTGCTGCAAATTCACTCCACAAAATGGAAGTGCGCCAGGCCATTATGGGGGACCTGACCTGAGGGATGGACCAGTCCTGTGGGACCAGACCCGAAAGACATAAAGATGACAATGAGTCTGCATCGGTCACCGTGTGTGGGCATACCTTCACTATTTTCTGTTTCTGTTCCTTCCCTGTTCTTTTCTGACACGTCTTTGAAAAGAATGTCTTTCTCTCCCTCTCTTTTATTGCCCTAAATTTCATAAAGGACTACACCTGAGCTTCCTGATAGAAAAGTTGAAAATACAGGAATTAGACATTAGTTACTCTTTTATTATTACGCTCACTATTCTCACCATTAATCTTTCCTGCAGGGCATTTATAACATATTTAACATACATTGTGCTGATATGAATACCGTTTTGTGGAGTGAATTTGCAGCATTTCTCTCTTGCAGTTGTTTTGGGGTTTTGTGTGTTTTTGGTATTTGCAGCATTTTTCTTTGGCATTTGTTTTGTTGGTTAAATAATAAATAATAATGAAAAGATAAACATTGTACTGTAGCTTATTGCCCAGTGTGTAAGTAGGCTACTAATGGGTGAAAGATCCTCTCTGTGTTTAGAAAGTCTTCACTGGTGTACCATTTTATTTCTTCAGGTCATTTCGGCTCCTCAGTTGCCTCTTACTTCATCTTCCTGAGGTGGATGTATGGCATCAACATGATCCTGTTTGGTCTGACCTTTGGCCTAGTCATGGTGCCAGAGGTACTGTACACGGCTGTATTTAATCAGAAACAACTCATAATTTCCTTGTATTGTATTTGCAGTATTGCTCTTATGGTTGTTTGCGAGCTTTGCCCTCCTGTGTATTGCTAACAGGCATTAATGGGGCGTCCTTATGGCAGCATCCCAAGAAAGACCGTCCCCAGGGCTGAGGAGGCCAGTGCCATGGACTTTGCTGTCTTATGGGACTTTGGAGTCAGTTCATTATTCAACATTACACTCACACCAAGCTCTTGAAATAAGATTTTTATTATTACATTTGAAAATACAACTCAAACTAAAATCTGTATCCACAGGGTTACGCTCAGTATTCAGTCCTCTTCTATGGTTACTACAACAACCAGCGTGCCATTGGCTGGCTCAAGTTCCGCATGCCTCTGTCATACTTCCTGGTTGGTGTGGGAACAGTGGCCTATAGCTACATGGTGGTCATAAGAACGTGAGTTTATTATGACTACATACAATGAATCAGTCTCCTCTATGTTATACTGAATCTGTATCTCTGATTAAAGGATGGCCCGTAATGCTAACGAGTCGGGAGTTGGAGATGATAACAGCTTTAATTTCAGCTGGAAGACGTTCACCAGCTGGGATTACCTGATAGGAAACCCTGAAACTGCAGACAATAAGTTTGCCTCCATCACCACCAGCTTCAAGGTAAGTGTCGCTGACTGTTGCTGATCCAGTATAGGTAGTACCTGACGCCATTTATCTGACATTTATCTTGCATATCCCTCCTTCTACCTCTCCAGGAGGCAATCTTAGAGGAGCAAGAGAGCCGAAAGGATGACAACATCCATCTGACTCGTTTTCTGCGTGTGCTGGCCAACTTCCTAGTCTTGTGCTGCTTAGCAGGAAGTGGATACCTCATCTACTTTGTAGTGCGTCGCTCTCAAAAGTTTGCCCTTGATGGACTGGATACTCACACCTGGTGGGAGAGGAATGAGGTAGTAATGAGAAAGATTGAGAGACAGAGAATGAAAGAGAGTGTATGAATCATTTTAGTAGCAGGCAAGATGTGCTGAAGAAGTTCATTATATAGATTGAATTACTGTCCTCCAAGGGGGAAATTCATGTCCACATCACTGCACCATACCAACACCATACACTCAACAAAGAAACACGCCATCCACAATAAACAAATCCACAAAGAAAAACAAACAAACAATCAAATAAATAATACATGACAGGTTACACACCTTTGTTTAGAGCAGCAATAGCTGCGGGGATCAGGCTTTTACCGTAGCGAACTTTCTTGCACCTCAGTGTTCCTCACCTTTACTTTGTGCATTGCATTGTGGAGAATAATGTCAACAGCATGCTCAAAAACGTCTTCAGAGTGTATTCTCACTGTATTGAATACACCTTATTTATGTCACTTTTTTTTACTAAGAATACACTACATACTACAAAATATGCTTAGAATTAGACTATAGTATGGATTTGGGGACACAGCTAGTGTGTTTTGCTTATTGTTACTTCACTTGAATGTCTGTTTTATAGTTCAGAATGATGTTAGAACAGTTTGTCACTTTTAGATGAGACCTAATGCTTGTCACCTCTGAGTTACAGTAAACAATCCAGAGAGATATACACACTGGTAATGTGTAAGACAAATATGAGCTTTCATCAGTCTGGGCCTTTATGTTTCTCAGGTGAACATGGTTATGTCATTACTGGGGATGTTCTGCCCCATGTTGTTTGACGTCATCAGTGCCCTGGAGAACTACCACCCTCGTGTCGCCCTGCAGTGGCAGCTGGGTCGTATCTTTGCCCTCTTCTTGGGAAACCTCTATACCTTCATCATTGCGCTCATGGATGAGATCAACCTCAAAGTGAGAACTAGGGCATGAATGTGTGTGAGATACTTTATAATTTTACAATACACTTAACCTGAGTATATGTGTTTCAGAGGGAAGAGGAAAAGATAGTAAAGTTTAATATCACCACATGGGAAGCCAGTCTTTATAATAGTACAGTATCAGAAAACAGCACTGGTCCACCCATCACTATCCAGCCTGCTGATGTGCCCAGAGGGCCCTGTTGGGAGACCATGGTGGGGCAGGTCAGTGGGCATTTGTGTGTGTAAACTATATATAATCTATTATGTAATTATGTAGTTATGGGTACCCAAAGAGACTAATATGAAATGAAAATATAGGATATTGTGAAATAATCACACAAATTAATATAAAATATGTAATATAACCATGAAATATTTTAATTGAATATTTTTTAAACACAGCTCATTTACCTTTTTGCACTTAAAATTACATTTATTTAATTCACTATTGTCCAAAGTGACGTACAGATGAAGTACCATTTAAGCCACAGTAGATCAAGGAGAAGCCTTTTAGAATAAGTGCCTCAACACTCAGTTTCACCTGACACAAAGTGCCACAAGGCTGTAGGTTAGTAACTTGACATTTATTTCTTTTAGAAAGAGCTAGAGAAGGATTGAGAGGTGACAGTCGTTCATTTTCAGCTCATAGTGAACAAAAAGGTTCATAAACCTGAACGAGGGAATTCAGGTGGATGGTTGACGCTCTGTAGGATGTGAGCAGCAACAGGGAGCCAATGGAGAGTAATAAAACATGGAGTGATATGAGCTGTCTTTGACTGACAGACCAGATGGGCTGCTGCATTTTGAACCATTTGCAGAGGTTTTATTGTTCAAGCTGGCATCAATTATGATGGCCATTTTTCAAGCTGGTACACCTCTCTGGTCCTACCTCACAGAGGGATCATTCAAGTCCGTCTCTTTCCACTGGGGTACTTTCTCTTCTCCATATACATCTCCACTCTTTTTTCTTAGCATGTGCTGAACGGGAAGACTGGCTGGGAGAGTCTTAGAGAGATTAAATTGAAGGTGGCGTTCTATCATCCATTTTGAGATAGCATTAAGGCAGGCTGAGATTCATGCTATGACAGTCGTCATCCGACGGGAAGGACAGATAGAACTGGGTATCCTCAGCGTAGCGGTGCTAAGAAAAAAACATGTGAGCAGAGATTTATATTGGAAAGAGAAAGGGACCAAGTACAGATCCTTGCAGTACCCCAGTGGAGAGAGACACTTAGACCTCAATGATCCCTCTGGTAGGACTCAAACCAGAGTCGTGCTGTACCAGAGAGGTGGTTCACCATCTATAAAGCATCCCCCTCTCTTTGACCTCAGGGTTTCTATGATTGACAACAGTGCAGTTTCAGTGAAATGACTCCTCTTAAACCAGACTGGTTTGGATCAAGCATAGCGGCCTTGGCTGAGCACGCTTTGCAACCTTGGATATGAAGAATAGTAGTGAGACCGGCCTGTAGTTTTCAACAAGGGATGGATTTAGGGTTGACTTTTTCAACAACGGGCTGAACTTGAGCCCTAGAGAATGTACCCGAAGTCAGTGAAGCATTTCTCATGTGCGTCATCAGAGGCACGACTGTGGGTGAGATGGCTCGAAAGAATAGGATCCAGAGGATAAGAGGTGGGGCGACTCGAGAGTAGAGGTTTGGCAGCCTCTTCCTCAGTGAAAGGGAGAAAAGCAGTAGTGACTCATCCTTAACTGGAGAAGATTGTGGTTGAGTGGTTCTGTGAATTGGCCACTGACGGACGTTACCTTGTTGGCAAAGTCACCCATCAGTTGAGAGAGAGGTGGCTGGTGAAGGAGGCGAAGGGTAAAGGTGGCTTCTTCGAGGTGGAAAATAGTTTGTAGCATAGCTGTTCTTGTCGAGGTAAAATGCAGTTTAGCTGGAGGGAAAGGATGAAATATCACACTGCTTCTTTTCATAGTTACAGAGTTTACTGTAGGTCATTACAGGAGTTTGTATTTCAAAATTTGTCTCTTTATATTTCACCATCTTCCCCAATGACCATTTTATACCATAATACCAGTTTTCATCACTGAGGCAGTTATGTGACTGGCTGTTGATGAGATGACAGCCATGTTTAATAGAGCAGTCTTTTTAAAATGCATTGGATTTATTTATTTTTTTAACTTTGGGTCAACATATATGTTGATTACTATTACTTCATACACCATTAGCGAAATTGTATTCAACACTGATTTAATTAAAAAATGGAAATTCAGCTAACTTTAGAAATTGTTAATATGATATAAGATTTGCATTAAAAATGAAATATGTTGTATTTTATTGTTGGGTAGGACATATAGTAGTTACATTTTATACTTAAACATGGTAAAGTAACCTACATAATAAGAAACACTCAGGGATTAAGAGGTGAATGAAAAAGTATAACCTCTGTAAGGCGATCATTATGTACGACTGCTTCATCCTTTGCAGGAGTTTGTCCGTCTGATCATATCTGATACGATGACAACCTACATCACGCTGCTGATTGGTGATTTCCTGAGAGCCGTGCTCGTTCGCTTTCTCAACTACTGCTGGTGTTGGGACCTGGAGGCCGGATTTGTGAGTCATCTGTTCAAACTGATTAGAGTGAAATTACACAGTGTATAATTTATTTGTCATAACACATAAAAAATAATGTGCACCTTTTTCTAGAGGTGGAATGAAATATTGGTTATGAAAATATGAGTCACAGGAGAGTTATTTTTGTCTCCTTTGTGTCGTGTGAAAGCCGTCTTACTCTGAGTTTGACGTCAGTGGGAACGTCCTGGGCCTGATCTTCAATCAAGGAATGATATGGTGAGAAAACAACATTCATATTTTAATTAGCAGGGTCAAAAAGACATATTAAAGATTCTGTGAGGAACTTTCAGAAAAACCTTGTTTTTAATGGCCGATATGTGAACTGCAGTCAGCATTCTTCACTCTGTAGGCGCGAGTGAGCATCATTCTGAGCATCGACCAAAACAGTCATGTGTCTTCTCATTTAGATCAATATAATACTAACAGGTTTGCCATTCATTTTCCTCGGATTTTCCCAGAAACAAACACAGAAATCAGTCAGGCTGCTATTTAATTTTATTCATTAGAATTTTTTCAAATTATGTTACAGTCTGTTCACACATTGGCAATACAAAGCAATTAATACATGTAAATTGCTTCACATTATTACATATTGCACCTGTCAATGTTCATTTTTGTGTTTTATTTACAACTACTTAGTGATAATGAATAACACTTGTCCTCAGTGTTTAGCCTGATGTTTTCCTCCAGGATGGGTGCTTTCTATGCCCCCTGCCTGCCTGCCCTGAACGTCCTCCGACTCCACGTGTCCATGTACCTGCAGTGCTGGGCCGTGATGTGCTGTAACGTGCCCCAGGAAAGGGTCTTCAAGGCCTCTGGCTCCAACAACTTCTACATGGCCATGCTGCTGGTCATCCTCTTCCTGTCCACTCTGCCTGCCATCTACACCATCGTCACCATCCCCCCTTCCTTTGACTGTGGACCCTTCAGGTAAGGATGCTCGTTGGAGGGATCTTACATTTACAATTTGATTACTTTGACTCTCACTGTCACAATTATTATCTTTTCCTCAGTGGGAAGAAACGTATGTTTGATGTGATCCAAGAGACTCTTGAGTCGGACTTCCCTGCCTGGTTCAGTAAAGTGTTCAGCTCTGCCTCTAACCCTGGACTGGTGCTACCCTTCATACTGCTGATGGTGTGAGTCAGCAAACACTCACCAGCAGATTGAATATGAATATATATATATATATATATATATTTGCACAGCTTAAGATATTTTGTATAAACACGTTGTCATTTTTTCCTTTTAGTGATAAAGTTTAAGGTTCTTTGATGGTTATTTGTGTCTTTCAGACTGGCCATTTATTACTTGCAATCCACATCCAAAAGCTACAAAGAAGCTAATGTGGAACTGAAGAAAAAACTACAAACGGTAACCTGGAATTAGATTTTATTTATCTGCTTTTGAATACACTGGAATAAAAAAAGCTCACACTTAGAAATTCAAGTAATTAAACTTCAGGAAATTACAATATCACAATGTTAACCTCTAACATTTTATATAAAGATGGAAAATTTTAATTTCAGGCAAATAAAGGTAAGAGATTCTCAGGAACTTTCATTTGATTTGCTTTTCTAATCCATTTTAGCAGCTTTAAAACATCCCAGCAGTGTGTAGATGCACAAATAGACAGCAAGAGGCCACAGTTGTATTAATATCATCACTCCAGCAGAGAGCAGCAGAGTAACAGCTCATATCTCTCCAAAAACCAGTGGGTTAAACAATTATCATTCATCTCTACGCTGCTTGACAAAAGCAGCAGCTGAATGAAAATAATTTAAAAACTGATGTGCAGTTCTGTATGCCTTAATTGCCTTTCTTAACTTTAAAACAAAACTAAACCTCTGTGGATGGACATTGTACTCAACGTGGTCTGAATCAGCTTCCTGCAGTCACTCTTGCAATTGCTCATGTGTCCCTGTCAAGCAAAACGAGGAGAACAAGAAGAAGAACAAACGAGCAGCGCTGAAGGCACAGATGGACCTAGAGGAGGCCAGAAAAGCTGCATCACAGACTGCAGAGCAACAAAAGAACAACAACGCGTCACTACAAGACCAAGAAGGTGAGACTGAACTCTGCATAAAAATGAAACAGGATGTTTTTAATCATGGGATGAAAAGAAATATCCAGTGTAAACAAAAGACAAAATAAATCTGTTAAACTTTACCTTTGGTCTCAAACTATGGAGCCCTGAAACTGACAAAATATAGTAAAACGTTATTAGACAAGTCAAATATATAACTAAATACACTAAATTGTAATACAGTGAGTTGAATATTAAAACTTGAATGTAAAAATAAACTTTTTACTTTTTTGTGGACCTCTAATCTTTACCATAAATCAGCTGATAGAAATCAATTAAAAAGTCCTTTTCTTGGCACACATTTAATCATTTATCTATTTAAATATTTTCCCCAAGTAACATTATCTAAGCATTAACACTGTTAGTGTTAGCTTATTTAAGAAGTTTCTCCTACACTCTTCATATCATTAAAATAAAAAAATCATATATTTATACAGCAGTATGCAGCTTTTTACCCCCCACATCTGAAATGATACATTTCTCTTTACTTCACTTTCACCTTCAAGCCGATGAGGAAGAAAATCACAGCAGCAGTCAGAGGCTGTATCATGGGAAGAACAGACGCAACCCCCCTGCTCCGGTTAGAGAACAAGGACTTCCAGCCACCAGAGCCCCTGTCCCCAGGAACTATCACCATGGCAACCACGGGGCTCCTGGGTACCTGCCCGGTTTCCCTCGGCAAAGCGAACCGAGGATGCACAGGGTGCCGAGCCTGCAGAGACACTGAGAGAAAACAACACGAAGAAAGAAGAAAACCGAGCACTTTATTGAGAACTGAGAGAGTGTTGACGGCTCTTTTCCTCCTGAGAAAATTAGTAACATTTCAAATTAGTTGTTTACTAAATAAATGTTAACATGAGTAGAATATAATTTTCTTTAAATGTTGCATTACAGTTGTTATATATGCGTCATATGTCTTATATATAAAGAGGGACGACAAGACAGCTCTCTAAAAGTGAAGCTAAAACATCTTGATCGCCCCTTGGTGGCTGACTGCAGTAGTTTGGTTTTAATTAGTTATTTAAAAGTATAAAAAAGGGAGTTTCAGGTCATGATTGGCAGCTGAGGCCTGCTCACATGTTGATGTGCTCAAACATTTCTCTGCTAGCTCCACTGGTGACACTTCTTAGCAGTACCTCATTGTACTGCTCCTCAACATACAGTAGAAATCAATGGAAACAGCAATGCAAAAATCTGTTGTTGATGACGAAAGTAAGAGGGTAACAAAAACCATAAATTCAAGTACAATTAACAAAAGTAGTGGAAGATGATGATGATAAATAAATAAAATGTTGTTGTTTCTCTCTTATTTCCTGCACATCCACACAACTGTTACAGGCTTATTTTAGATTCTCAAAGGCAAACATCGTAATGTCCAGCACCATGCCCTGCAAGAAAAAAATGAACAAGAAACGGATTTCTGTGCCACTCCACAGTGGTTTAGCCTGGCAGCCCTTATGAAAATTGTCTGACTCCACCAATGAGGGTATGAAACAGGGAAAATATTAGCATGTATTTGTATGTGCAGCTTCCATCTTTATATGGAGGTCTCCATATAAACTCTGCTTGGCCTAATGTTTCCTATCACAGCAACAATCCAGAGCAGTTATATTAATGACATGTTTCTAAAATAGGTGAACTAAACATGTAAATGTTCTTTTAAATTGCATTAATTTATTTTTGATCCATTCTTGACTCTTACATCGTTTTTGTCTTTGGAGATGACCACCTTGCTTTAACTTTTGGTTGTAGTCGATCTTTCAGTTTCCTTACAGTTTAGTTGAGCTATATTCAAAATTAGAAATTATTTTTTAATTCACACTGACTGGCCTCTCACACTGAGACACTGGGCACAGGTGTCCCTGGACCTGTGACTGGGCCAAAGTATTAAACAATTCATTAGACATGGAAGCCATTTAACCTAGCTAGCGAGGCTTAAATGTATCTCTCTCTCATCGCTGGCTGCACTTACACACTCAACTGAGTTTTTTCAGCTGAATAACACAGATATGACACATTGTGTGACGCGTAAAAAGCGTCAGATTATGCCCTTTTTGGAAACATCGAATCTGTGCCAAACATTCAGGTTTGATCTGTCAGTATAAATCCATTCCCTGTGGCCTCCTGACCTTCATCACGAAGCATGAACGTCTGCGTATCATCTGATAACGGCGTGGTCATATCCAGTGTCCGACAGCTGATTCTGCTCTGCACTTGCTGTCAATCAACCTGTCATTCAGCAAATTTAAAAGTAACGGTGTTGTCTCATTAGTTAAACTTTATTAACCTGAAATTCTATACATTGATAATCACTCAGAGTCACGTTTAATTGAAATTCAAGAAGTGTACGATGTAAGGGGGTTGTCAGTGAGGAATAAGTGTGTCTAAATCATTTAAAGACAACAAGTCAACAAGCTAATGCCACGGACATTAAATTACAGTGCCAGTCAAATCCACTCTCATTGACGCTCATGATCAATTTATGGTAAGTAAGCATTAAGTATTAATCCAACAGTTATTTGAGAACTGGAGAACGGAGTAAGCCCCCAAGCTTTATTCTTTCATCATGGGCCAAGAATTGTCAATCACATTATTTAATAAAGACTGAGGAGACATTGACCTTCCCTGTATACTGGAGACTCTTCGTCATAATCTTCCTCACTCTTATTCATCCAGGTAATAGCACAACCCCCCCCCGCCACCACTCTGTGATAGCCACGACTTCATCCTTTCTACTGGAGTTGTGTTTTGGCTCTGTCCCAGTCTCCTTCCAATGCTGGTACAATGTGGCAGAAAACTGAGCCATGACAGGTTACACATTACTAGATACCTCAATGTCCGCTGCACCGCGATGGCCATCTCTTATTCACTACCAGTAATGAAGGGAGGAGTGAGACATTGTGGAGCTGCACAAGCACTGATTTGACTCGTTCGGAGGGGTGTTCAGTTTTCCTTTGGGGAGCAAAGGTTGGCATTGAGTCTCAGAGTGAAGTTAGATGCTTTTTAGTTAATGGATTTTAAGAATAAATCTAGGCCTTCTTCAAGCTTAAGTGAGAAGGAAGGATGAATACCGGGTAGAGAGGATTATTGAATGGTTTCTAGGAAGTGAAGGAGACAATCAGGAGGAGGACTTGAGAAGCCCAACCCTGAGGGCTTAGCTTGTCTTTCAGGTACAAGCCTCGAAAGCGAGCATTCATAGCTCTCTGTGTGTTGGCAGCCTTTGCGTCTCCTGTTTCCTCCTGTATTATTCAAAAGGTCAGATGTGATATTTGACCATAACAACACATATAATATGGATAGGAACATAAGGCACTATTGTTCATCCCTTAGTCCTCACTTCCACATCTTTCTTACCTCTGCTCAATCACAAACTGTTAATGAAAGTATAAGGTCACATTTCTTAAGTCTGTCCTGAAACAATGGCAAAAATGGATTCAATTAGTCAAATGAAGTGTGTATTTTCCATTTTTTTTGTTCAAAGTTCTCTCTGTGTTTCCTTGTTGAGCTACAGTAAAAAAATTTAATAAACTTGTGAAAATACCCAATTCATTTGACTAACTCAGACTGCTGAACCCTCATATTAACTTCAGCTAGTAGTTAGTTAGTAGTTAGATGGAATATAATATGCATAACTATGTTTTCATTAGTGTAAAATCACCTGAAAATAATAATCATTATGTTTTTGTTACCTTATGATATCTACAGACACCACGGGTCGTCTTCCAGGAGTCCCCCCATGTTGAATCACCATGTTTTTCTAGTCTAGATAGGACGATTATCCTTCGATGCCAGTAATTCCTGGTTGAAAATTAATGGTTCCACAGACTATCCCATATAATTACATGTTTTGCTTTTTTTTCTATACGCATATATATACATATATACATACACACATAAACTTATATATACTATATATATAAATAAACACACATATATTAAAATAAATGAAGAGTTAAAGGGAGCAGGGTTTATGGTTATGGGCAGCAAAAGGTTGGCATTGAGTCTCAGAGTGAAGTTAGATGCTTTTTAGTTAATGGATTTTAAGAATAAATCTAGGCCTTCTTCAAGCTTAAGTGAGAAGGAGGGATGAATACCGGGTAGAGAGGAGTATTGAATGGTTTCTAGGAAGTGAAGGAGACAATCAGGAGGAGGACTTGAGAAGCCCAAACCTGAGGGCTTAGCTTGTCTTTCAGGTACAAGCCTCGAAAGCGAGCATTCATAGCTCTCTGTGTGTTGGCAGCCTTTGCGTCTCCTGTTTCCTCCTGTATTGACCATAACAACACATATAATATGGATAGGAACATAAGGCACTATTGTTCATCCCTTAGTCCTCACTTCCACATCTTTCTTACCTCTGCTCAATCACAAACTGTTAATGAAAGTATAAGGTCACATTTCTTAAGTCTGTCCTGAAACAATGGCAAAAATGGATTCAATTAGTCAAATGAAGTGTGTATTTTCCATTTTTTTGTTCAAAGTTCTCTCTGTGTTTCCTTGTTGAGCTACAGTAAAAAGATTTAATAAACTGAAAATACCCAATTCATTTGACTAACTCAGACTGCTGAACCCTCATATTAACTTCAGCTAGTAGTTAGTTAGTAGTTAGATGGAATATAATATGCATAACGTTTTCATTAGTGTAAAATCACCTGAAAATAATAATAATTATGTTTTTGTTACCTTATGATATCTACAGACACCACGGGTCGTCTTCCAGGAGTCCCCCCATGTTGAATCACCATGTTTTTCTAGTCTAGATAGGACGATTATCCTTCGATGCCAGTAATTCCTACACACTAGACCTTTAAGTCTTCAGCATGCTAATGTTTAATGTTATGAGCAGAAATAATGACTGCAGCGATCAATTACTCAGCATGTTAGTGTTGTTTTAACCTCTCCTTTAATGAATAGCTTGTAAAACTGACTGATTTGTCCCCTTAAAACGCTGTTTTTAAAGTTATACATTTACTCCCACAGAAGACTGTGTACAGTATTTAAATACAGTGACTTGTTTCACTTTTCACTCAGGATTACTTAAGCTTTCATCCAACTTTAATGGGCCCGGACCTTCATGTCGACATCTGGTGTCTCCTTACTGGGCCACAACTGCACGGTGGCAAATGTTCAACCATCAGACGTTCGCAAACATTATATGGCGACGTTACAACTTTAAAATAAACTTGAGGATTTTGTGCATGTTGACTGTATACGTGCTCTAGTTGCTCCAGTCAAATATGAATTAGCATTTTGATTGACAGGTCTATTGTCTGATGGATTTTGTTTTCTCCCTAAGCTCCTGATTATCATCTACTGGACTGTGTGTCTTTGGCGGTTGTCAAGGAGCCCGGTCTTTGAGCAGCTTAAACAGAGGCGCACCTGTTCCTGTATGTGTGTGTATAAGTGTGTGCGTGTGTGTGTGTGTGTGTGTGTGTGTGTGTGTGTGTGTGTGTGTGTGTGTGTGTGAGTGTGTGCTGGCTTTTTGACACAGGATCTTCACAAGTGTTTCTGCCGCTCGCACTGAGTAACTCATGGATGGAGAGGAGGCAGAAGAGGACTAACTGGAATAAGAAAAGAGAATATAATAACTAAAAGAGACACAACAAAATGCCTCCAAAAAGGAAAAATGATGCTGTAATTAGGGTTGAAGATGGTGAGATTTTTATTTTCATATTGTTTATTTGTTGTCTTAGCAAATTTTCAGCTTTAAATTTTCAGCTTTTTGATTATATTGAGTAACTACTACTATGTAAATATTTATTTGTGTAGAGATTTATCCCCTTAATTTGTGTGTGTGGGGGTGTTATTTGTTTTTTTTATTCACAGTTGGGATGGATGTTGATGCTGTGGACAGTGGAAGTGAAGGTGAGTCACCAGGAACTATTTTTGTTTGCTTTTCATCAGAGAAAGAGTTCAAAAAACGTTTTTTATATATGCTTTTATTGCTGAAAATTAATGGTTCCACAGACTATCCAATATAATTACATGTTTTGCTTTTTTTCTATACGCATATATATACATATATACATACACACATAAACCTATATATAAATAAACACACATATATTAAAATAAATGAAGAGTTAAAGGCAGCAGGGTTTATGGTTTGAACAAATTATATATAAATTACTGCTTCTTTTCGCCCTCTTCTGTCACTTTTCTTCAAGATTGTTTACACATTTTCATTAAATTCCCTCTTTAGAGACACATAATTTCAGTGGATTAATGGTTCTTTGTACTTTTCATGAGCTAAAACATTTAACGAGACTAATATCACTGTTGCACACACTTGATGGATGAATGTTTCTATAATGTATATATTTTTTTTTTCTCAGATGAGGCCAGGAGGAGGACCAAAAACAGAAGAAACAAACCACAACGTAAGGTCAAACGGGTCAGTGATGATGAGGAGGACGAAGAGGACGAGGACGAGGCACCAAGGAAGAGAGGACGAAAGAAGAAGGCCAAACCCCGGGACAGCGACGAAGACGACGAGGAAGACAGCCGCAGTGTGAAAAGCAAAAGCTCAAAAGCCTCCAGGAGGAAAGCTGCGAAGGAGGAGAGCGATGAGGAGAGCGAGAAAGAGCAGAAGACGAGGAAAAAACGAGGGAAAGGGGTGTCCAAACTGGAGAAAGAGGAGCAGAACAAGGAGAAGAAAGGAAAGGGGAAAGATGGGACAAAGAATAAAGGTGGTGAGAAGGACAAGAAAAAGAAGAATGGGAAGTTGAGCAGGTGCAGTATTCTCTGAGAGCTCTCTCTCTCTCTCTCGCCTACCTGCATGCTCCACACACCCGTATGGGCTTTCTCCATTCATGCAGACCCCCCCGGCAGACTCTGGTGATATGAAGCCATGTGGCATATATTCAGGGACACGTCAACAGAGTGTAAATACATTGAATATAATATAGAATACTCACTTGTTTCCCTGAATATATGGCATTTACAGTGTAATCTGGTTTTTTTTTTTATGATACTGTGAGACATTGAAGATGGTTGTGGGGTTTATGTGCATCAGCAGCAGTTATTGTTTGTTTTTGTGTGTGTGACAATCTAACAACCGGCAGAAAAGGTTATGTGATCATCCTGTCGCCTGTTTTATACAAAAAGGCAGAAGATTTTGGCCTGCTGTGATGGATCTTTACTTTACTGCTGTGTTAAAACAAAGCCAAAACATCTCGGGACACCATATCTTGAGTATCCAGTGTCAACACAGGGTGCCATGTCATTGTTCCCATAGCCTAATACTCCTTAAAACTACAGCCCATATGTCCACAAAAACCAACAAACAATTGCCCCAAAAATATCCACCAGGTGTAACTATTTAACTTATGTATGTAAAGAAACTAACATACTTAATTTAACCCAAACCTAAACCTAATTAAGTAGTTTTATTGTCTAAGCCTGACCAAATTGTGACCATTTTGCAGTGTTAACCGCGTGTTTATCATTGTTACCATGACAACAACGGTCATGAAGGTGAAGGTCACCTAATAAACTATGATACTGAGGGCAGGGGACAGTGTGTCTATTTGGAGCAACTGGCCTTTTGTTTATGTGGCTTTCGGTCCGATGGGGAAATTTTTCAGACTATTGGGCGTCAAAATAATTCAGATCGAACTCTTAACTCTGCACATTAGAATAATTTAATATAATAACTTAACTTATGTAGAAGCTTTCATGAAAGTTTTGACAAAGTGTTGCATAGAAGGTAAAAGAAACATATTCAATTTGTTGCCTGTAAGTTGTAGAAGTGATTTTAAAGCCATCATGTGTTCGATCAGAAAATTGTCTACTCTTGCGCACCCCTGTGGTAGCATGAAAAACTGTCGCAGACGGCAACGCAGGCTTAATGAAACAGAATATTCAAAAGCTAAAAAATATAAATAAATACACAGCAAGAGACAATACAAGACTTACATCTTCTTAAGTCCTTAAACACTTTTGCCTTAACAGGTTGTCGGACATACTAGCGCCACTTTGAGGCAAATATCAGCATATTATCCCGTTGATGTTTAGCATATTAGGCTTGTAACACCCAAGTTGTTTCAATTTATTAAAGAAATCTTGATTAGCGTCGGCTAAACAAACTGATTTTGGTGACGTTGGCGTTGCTGTTGGTTTTCGGAGGTTTTAGATTTGGCTTCTGCAGCACCTTGGTAAAAGCCATGGCACGTGATAAGTGATCTTTCCCTTTATCAGCTCGTCTGGCTCTGAGTCTGATGAAGACTCGATGTCGGAGGGAGAGATGGCAGCCCTGAAGGAAGAGGTAGAGGAAAAGAAGAAAGTGATCGCGACGTTGAGGAACCAACCCTGGCGCATGAAGAAAAGACTCGTCGTGCTCAAGTAAAAACAGTGGTCAACTTTAATTCACATCCTCTGCTTGCTTCTGATTTCTGTAATTTCTGTTTGCTGCTGCTGCGTTTTTTGTTCTTTATGCTTTTGTTTGTTGTTTATTTATTTACTATTTCTCACGAGTGCTTCCCTCATTGCCTACCATCACTCATGTCATGTACATGTGATGCTGATCATGCATTATTAAAACTTGTTCATTGCTACTTTATCTGTTTGGTACTTCTCTTTATCGGTGCTTTGATGGGGATAAATAATCTACAGCCGCTTCTTTCTCAGTGTTACCTTATGGGAAAAAGTCTTTTAGCGCCAGTATGAGTCAAGTGATTTAACCATCTTCAAATGATGGTTGTCTTTTCAACATAGGCCAGGTAGCATTTAGCATATCTAAGTACAGGAAAGGAGACTGAGGTTTCAAAAGGAGGCTGAGGAAGGCTGAAAATGACTAGATCCAGGCAAATACTTGTTCACCCACATTCACTCTTTTATTTAGCTATGTGAACTCTCTCCTCTGTCTATAAATCTCAGGCAAACACATTTCTGGCTGTAGTTCAGCCTGTTAGCCATCGTCCTCTCTGTGTGATAAGACTGTAAACACTACCACCTCCCTTTGCCAGGGCCAAGGCTGAGTGGGAGTTGTGTGGGTTAGTGTGTGAGTGTGTGTGTGTGTGTGTGTGTGTGACTCAATGTGTATGTTTCTCTATGTACAGATCAGTGTAAGCAAGGGAAATAGATAGGTGCGTTGTCTTGACTTTTTTATGAGCGTGACACTGTTTAATGCATGCTGTTGTGGCTGACCTGACCTGCTTCTTGCCAAGTTTTCCTCCTAATGCTCTTACCATAAGCAATGTACCATCAATCAGTAAGTCATCCCCCCCCTCTAAAACCTGCCACTTTTACATCCTGATGCCACTAACTAATTCATTCCCTGGAAGTCGCATCACTTGATTTAATTGGTTGGATGTTTTCTGAACAAAACAGGGAGGCCCAGGAGTTTGTTGAAAAATTTGAAGGCGCTCTTGGGAAAGGAAAAGGCAGGAAACTGTATGCATACAAAGTCATGATGACCAAGGTAATCTGATCATTTTTTAAACCACTTAACACAAACTTTACAATGATATTGTGGAGATTTTACTTTAAACCACCTTTTCTTTTGTTAATTTCAGAAACTAATCAAGTTTAAACGTGACTTTGAGAACTTCAAAACAGCCTGTATACCGTGGGAGAGGAAGATAAAAGAAGTAGAAAGTTGGTACCACTGTGACATTATCTAAGGAAATAATCACTGACCCTCTGGTTTCTTATAACACTTCTAAGTCGAGTTCTCTGTTTTCCTAATCACAGGTCACTTTGGATCATCTGTGGCATCCTACTTTATATTCCTGAGGTGGATGTACGGTCTGAATCTGGTCCTGTTTGGGTTCATGTTTGGTCTGGTGATTCTGCCCGAGGTACAGACCTTCTCATAGCACATGTTAGCAGGTGATGTAACAGCCATGTTGTCTTACCTCCATCCCTCTGTGTTTAGATTCTTATGGGTCTTCCATATGGCTCCATTCCCAGGAAAACTGTGCCGCGAGAGGAGCAGGAAACAGCCATGGACTACTCTGTGCTCTTTGACTTTGGAGTGAGGATATGAGCTTTATTTATCAATTTATTTATATCATATATTAATGAGATAGGTGGCTGATATTTGAAATGGGTCGCAGATACAAATCTATACAGAAAAAACATGGTATGCCTTCGTAACGTCAGCATGTCTTTGTACGCAGGTCAGCATTCTAACATTTAGCTTACAGTACAACCTCAGAGATTTGTTTGCATGGCCGTCAAGTTTTTAATCAAGATTTTAGGAAGATGTTACAGATTTTTAAGTTTTTCTTAGTCTTGTCATACAAAGGGTTGTTTGCTGTACAATGCGTCTCTAGGTCTGAATCGAATATATCTTTGTAACAGGGTTACTGCAAGTACTCGTTCCTGTTCTACGGGTACTACAACAACGAGCCAACGATCGGGGTGCTGAAGTTCAGACTCCCTTTGTCATACCTGCTGGTGGGGGTTGGCATCTTTGGCTACAGCCTAATGGTTGTCATAAGAACGTAAGGCGAGACACATTAATGTAGGCCAGCGATAAGATGTACAGTATTTGTTGTATGCAGATGGAGATGTTTTTTTTAATCTTTTCTTTCTGGTCTTTTTCTCTTCTCAGGATGGCTCGTAACGCAAATGAAGGCGGAGATGGGGGAGAGGAGGGAGACTTCACCTTCAGCTGGAAGATGTTCACCAGCTGGGATTACCTGATCGGAAACCCTGAGACTGCAGACAATAAGTACGCCTCCATTACCACCAGCTTCAAGGTTAGCAGGTGTGTGTGTGTGTATATATTTGTGTTGGGGTCAGTCAGTGTATATCGTCATGTCAACTAAATGCTAAATGCATGACAGTCATGATCATTTTTAGCCTATTTAATAGTTATTAGCAATATTGTATATACATTTTATAACTTTTTAGTGGATACAACTGGTAAAATAAACTCTTTCCTGCCTTTAATACCACTGTACACATGTAAAACACACATGTAATAAAGGAGAAAGTCATTATAAATTCAAAAATGTTAAAGAACTAATGGTTTTCTTTGTGCCAGACTTTAAGGGGGTCCTTTAGTCCCGTTGCGTCATGGCCTGAGAAATTAAAATTGGGTTTGTGATATTGGATCACTGAAGAACCTGAGATACCAAATTCCTCACCAACAGCAGTTTGTTGGACTCAATATAGCCACAATATACGTTGTATGAGAGATTTTGAAGTAAAAAATGTGCAGAAATCAAGTAAACTTTGTTCCATTAAACTGGTTTATTTTGCCCAACTGTAGGAATCCATTGTGGATGAACAGGAGAATCAGAAAGATGAGAACATCCATCTCCGACGGTTCCTCAGGGTTCTGGCAAACTTTCTGATCGTGTCTTGCCTCGGAGGCAGCGGATACCTCATCTACTTTGTGGTGAAACGTTCTCAGGAGTTTGCTAATATGAAGAAAGATAATCTGTCGTGGTTTGAGAAGAACGAGGCAAGTTGACATTAAACATTTGGTGGTTCTTTACCTTTTTTACGACCACGTGGCGTAAGGGAAATTTGGGGAGAGATTAGTGATGCCGCTCTCTTGTCCAATGTATCAGGTGGAGTTTGTGATGTCTCTGCTGGGGCTGGTGTGTCCTCCTCTGTTTGAAACCATCGCAGAACTGGAAGATTATCACCCTCGTATTGCCCTCAAGTGGCAGCTGGGACGAATCTTTGCCCTTTTCCTGGGAAACCTTTACACCTTCCTCTTCGCCCTGTTTGATGAAGTTACTGCCAAGGTATGACAGATATGTCTGTATGTGTTTGTTCCTGTTGCTGGGCAGGTGTGGTGTTGGTGTATTTATATAATCTAAATTTAGAGTTGCAAGACCTTTGCTGCATTTACTCTGCTTCTGATATGTTATACAATGTATTTTCTGTGATACTTAAAGATGTAAAGCTAAGCTAACCAGCTTCTTGCTGTAGCTTCATATTTAAAAGACAGCATTTCCCAAAATGTAGAACTGTTCCTTTTAATCTAGCCTACAAACTATATATTTCCTGGTGTGTGAATTGTTCTACATAAATAAAGTTTGACTTGCTTTGATGTGTTTTCTGTTCTTTAGTTGGAGAGCGAGAAGGTAATCAAGAATTCCACTGAATGGGTTTTGAACCAGTACTATTCCAACTACAGCTCCTTCTACAACACGACAGATGTGCCTCCTCCAGCTGTGCACCCATCCGACGTCATCAGAGGACCCTGCTGGGAGACCGGAGTGGGAATAGTCAGTAGTGGCATTATACTCTTTAGTGTTACTGATAAAGATGCATAGAGTAGTAGCCAGAGGTGGAACCAAGTCATTGTTCAACAAGTCAGAAGTGAATCAAGACAGACAAGTCCCAAGTTCTGAATTTTTGAGTTTCAAGTCAAGATACTGAACCCCAAATTGTGTGTGAATATGAATGAATTATTATCTGTTCAATGGACTTTGCCATCACTGTGTGAATGTGTGTGAAAGGGTGAATGTGGCATGTACTGCAAAAGTGCTTTGGGTGGTCAGAGGACTAGAAAGGCACTATACAAATACAGTTCCATTTACCATTTAACATAATGTGGGATTGGTTCAAATAAAGTGCATCCGGGACATTAGGTGTTGCTTTTCTAGGAAATAACAGCATTGAAGTGTAATTGATTCATGGCACAATTTTTAAGTAGCATACTTTTGAATTTTCAGCCTTAGGGGGAAGGTATCAGGCATTTTTAGGTCCAAGTGAAATCCTTACTCACTGGTGTTCAAGTTCAAGTAAAGTTGCAAAAGTCACACCTCTCGTAAAAGCTGCAGTAGACACAGCTGGAATATTTATATTTAATATTTTACTCTGTTTGGAACAGCCTTCCTTCCTCTACTTTACCCTCCTTGCTCCACTTAATCAAACAGAAGAGACCAAATGTCTGATATTCATTTTGTATTCTTAATCCTTTCGCTTCATTTCTTGTCTTCTTATGCCGTGCAGGAATTTGTGAAGCTGATAGTGTCTGACATTCAGGTGACCTATTTGACCATCCTGATTGGTGACTTTGTGCGAGCTGTCATTGTCCGCTTCCTAAACTACTGCTGGTGCTGGGACCTGGAGGCCGGATTTGTGAGTACTCGCAGTGGGTGTCAGCCTCCATGTACATTACGTGCGTTTGTTTGTTTGGTTAAATTAAGTAATTTAATTATATGTAGCATATAAATTTTTTATGTCCTGTGCTGTAAACCAGAAGACATGTAAGAAATGTGTGCCTCTTGTATCTGCAGTCTTGTGGCTCAGTGTGTTTATGTCATCATTGTGGAGCTACTATGTCATCCAGCTATTATTGAACACTGTGTAAGTACGGCGCAGTTCATGCTGGATCCACGTCAACCTGATACCATACAATGACATCTGGCAAGACAGCTGATCCCTAACATTCAGCGAAAGAGGACACTCCAGTGAGAACTTAATTACAGAGAGAGAGAGAGAGAGAGAGAGAGAGAGAGAGAGAAACATAGAGAGAGGAGCAAATGCAAAGTGTACCGACCTGGTTTTTATTAATTCGGGTGAGCATGCTAATCATGTTGTTGTGTTGATTCCAGCCCTCGTATGGAGAGTTTGACATCAGTGGGAATGTGCTGGGGCTTATCTTCAATCAAGGAATGATATGGTGAATTACTCCACATCTGCATGGTTGACTTTGATTGTCTGTCTTTACTTGTGTTAGGGCTGATTCTCTAATGGGACTGATGGGCTTATGTTTCTCTGGTGTCTGTCTCTATTAACAAAATAGTGAGTGTAGAGTGCTTGCCTTTTCAAATTAGATGAGTAATTTGTTTGATGGTTGACATTGGAGCCAGACTAATGCTAAAGTAACTTAAACTAATTACATTAAAGGAACATTATGTAAGATTTTTTACAATTTGGCTCCCCCCAGTTTCAGAGCACAGAGTTGTAAATATGTCCAGCTGTACATGTGTATTTGTTATGATTACTCTTAGTTTGTGAGGCTCTCTATCAGCTCTTTTGGTCTCTTCCCCTCTGCCATCCTCTGCCTCTACTGTCCACTCGCCCAGCTCACCCCGGGCCTGAAAACCTCCTCTTCCCGCCAGGCCCAAAGCTCCTGTGGTGTAAACACTTAACACACCCCCTGCTGCTCTGTGCTCCCAGTACAGCTAACTAAGTGAGCTAACTATCTAGAAACTGGAGACTTGAGGCGGAGCAGCCAGAGGACGTCAGAGGGAAAACCAGAAAACATTTTAATAATAATAATATGATCCACTTCCACCAAAATCTGTGACATCATTGGTGGTTTATGACTAAAAGTTCCTCAGTGGAAGAACAGGGTGCAGAGTGGGAATGACAGAACACCATTCACCCTATTATAAGTCAGTGTAGCATCAAAGTGATTTTGAAGCTGTTATTTTTAATGTAGAAATGTTACATAATGGGGCTTTAAATCACTAATTAGAATACTCAGTAGATTTATATAAATGATCAGTTCAGAAATGGCTGTTTATACATTATTTAACCTTGCTGTCTTTTTCAGGATGGGAGCGTTTTATGCTCCAGGTCTGGTGGGTCTGAACGTTTTGCGCCTCCTGAGCTCGATGTACTACCAGTGCTGGGCAGTGATGTGCTGTAACGTTCCTCACGAACGTGTTTTCAAGGCCTCGCGGTCCAACAACTTCTACATGGGCCTGCTGCTGCTCGTCCTGTTCCTCAGCCTGCTGCCTGTTGTCTACACCATCATGACCTTGTCTCCGTCCTTCGACTGTGGGCCCTTCAGGTCAGTAAGAGATGGAGACAGTAGGACTGAAATGTTTGTCAGTTGTTCTCAACAACTGTTGGATGGACTGTCATGAAATTCGTGGTATCCACGAGATAGATCCTCTAGTGCCACCACCAGGTCAAAGTAGCTACTGTGTGAGCCATCTTGTTTCCTTCTCAACTCCACTGAGAGTTGCACATGCACAGTGCTGATTTGGCAGGGGGTACAGATCGGGCAGAGACAGTGACATACTAAATTTTATACCTGATAAACATCATGCTACCACATTAGCAGTGATATTGTGAACATTTTAGCAAGCTGTCATTAGTATTACAACATCAAAAGCCGCTAACATGGCTGTAGGTCTTAGTCCTCCACTAAGCCACTTTCTTATGACAGCAACAGCTTCAGTTTTTTAAATGGAGCTGTTTATGTTCTGTTCATTGAAACTTTAACATGAACATTTACATTACTACTGGGTTGCAGTAAGGTTGTCATACCATATATATTTCAGACAGTTGCAGCCGTAGTAGACAGTAGTACTATAAGGCAAAAACACAGATTGTTTAATTCTGTTTGCTTTATTTGTAAGGGACCGTTCACGATATTGAACATAGATGTATCAGAGTTTGATTAATCTTAAAGCTACTCTTCATCTGCAGTCCCTTCACAGGTCACTAAAGCACATTTATACTTAAACATACTAAAACTGTATCATAGTTAATCTAATTTATTTGATCCATGTTTTTCCCCAGCGGCCAGGAGAAGATGTATGACGTGATCATGGAGACTATAGAAAAAGATCTTCCAGCCTTCATAGGGAACTTATTTTCATATGCGACCAACCCTGGACTCATCCTGCCCGCTGTTCTCCTCATGGTGTAAGTGTTATATCTGCTAACAAGAAAATCTGTAGTTTCCTGGTTATTTATAGATTTTTACATCTTGTGAAATTCTTTAGCTGTAAATTTATGATGCCTTCTGGACATTACTAATATATTGATAGTCTATATGTAGGTTAATTTATGTGATTATTGCGTCTTACATAGCCTGTTACCGGTATTCATTACTGTCTCCCATTTTGATACTACCAAGTTATACACATTAAATCTTAAACTGCCTGAATAGGTGTGTGTAATTGTTTAGAGTAAAGTCATAAAACGTGTTTACAATGACTTTCACCTAAGAGAATTATAATACTGTAATAGGTTGGCCCTCTACTACCTGAATGCAGTGTCAAAGGCATACCAGCAAGCAAATACGGACCTTAAAAAGAAGATGCAAATGGTCAGTATGAGCTTCTCTTGTAGTGTCCGAGCTCTGCCTCTTGTTTCCCTTTTTTTCCAACTCCCCTTTGTTCAAGATTCAATCAAACAAATGACTGTCTGGTTTATTGGTGGACACTTAAAGGCTCGAGATGAGGAGAAGAACCGCAGGAACAACAAGGACAGTACTAATCAAGTGATGAAAGACTTGGAGGACCTGCTGCCAAACAAGTCTCTAATACCACCTCCCACTGAGGAAGAGCCACCCCCACCTGGTACACACACACACACACACACACACTTGCATATTCCTTTATTGCAGATGCTATCGGCTAATTTGCACCCAACTGTCCTCACCACTCTTTTTGCTCTCCATCTGTCTTCTCAGATGTTGTAATTGAGAAGGGCAGCAAGTCTCCCAAAATGAAGCCAGGTGCAGCGGCAAAAGGGGTTAATCTGCAAAAGGATGTGTCCCTGGCTGCCCCAAACCCCAGAGCTCCAGTGACCCGTGCCCCAGGGCCAAGAAAAGGGCCTCCTGGAAATGCCAGGGGGCCTCAACCTGGGCCTGGGAGAGGAAGAGGTCGGGGTGGGCCTCCAAGGCACTAAGAGTCTCGATTCATGGACTAAAATACCTACAATTCACCACAAACAACCAGTGTCTGTTAACGTGACCACTGCAGTTACACAGCATATAGCCACTATGATAATTTAATTATTTAAATGTTATTGATTGATGAAAAATTATAATTTTACATCAAGTTATGAACCTTTTTTTTGCCTCAATGAAAAGTATCATAACTAGTATTTTAAACATGCCAATTTCTTAATCACATATAATTAACCACTGAAGAAATTCACACTACAGCCTCCACAGTCAAGTCCCATAATGTCCTTGATGTGGAGGCGGATATGAGACTTTGTTTAAAGTACATGGACACAGACATTCACTGTTACATCTGTATTACCGGTCTTACTACAACAAAATGCGAAACAATTCCCAGCAAAGTACCTTATATACAGATACACTGTATAGCATGATCGGGTTTACTGTATTGCAATCAGATTTACTGGTTATTAATGTGGGTCAACAATTTTATTGATTTCATTTGGAAATCCCTGTAAATAGTATGTAAAATGTCATTTTTTTGTATGACACCTATTAAAATCGTTATTTTCTGGCAAAGTGCTATTTAAGTGGTTACCTCTGAACAAAAACAGGCTCTCTTAAAGGTGCAGTGTGTAACATTTAGGAGGACCTGTTGGCAGAAATTGAATATAATATTCATAGGTATGTTTTCATTGGTGTATAATTACCTGAAAATAGGAATAGTTGTGTTTTTTGTAATCTTAGAATTAATCGTTTTTATCTACAGGAAGACTGGGTCCTTTTCCTTGGAGTCCGCCATGTTTCTACCAGAGCATGTGAGTGGAGTAGAGCAGTGAGAATCCTCGCTCATGAAGCTGTTCTTTCCTCCCCTGTTCAAAGCCACTCTACGCTCAACTCAGATTTCACTAAGATTGTTCACCGCTCGCTCCAAAAAAAAAAAAGACAAAACGCTGTGTTATATTTTAATTATACTCACAGGCAGCAGGAGAAAAAAAAACCTGGTCCTTTAAGCTTCATTATTGCAGAAGAAGCGACACCCTGTGTATCCATTAACACATAATTCATGAACTGAATGTCTGATTACAAATGAGCAGAAGAGCCGGTGCCACGAGACTCGTGCTTGTGCTTGAATTGACAGTTTATGGAAAGCCTAGCAATGATCCTTGGGACACGTACAGTGGTTATAGAGATACACATACTGGAGCAGGATGGAGTTGGAGATATGGTGACGCTAAAACCTTTTTTAAAATCCATTCTGCACTCCATTCGAAATCCTCCCATTCCCGCTCGCTTGGGCTCTGTTCACATGCTCTGGTTTCTACAATACTCCAGAATTGACAAACCAAACGCTGGCTCTAGATAGGGGCAGAGTTTCTCTTACATACTCGGAAGGCGAGAGGTATTCAGTTAGTTACAATCTGCAACTTTACCGCTAGATGCCACTAAATCCCACACACTGGTCCTTAAAGCTAACAAACACATAACAGACACTACTCTAGAGAACATGCTATCCACTAAACTGTTAAATATATCTGAGATGGTACACTAGAGAAACATAGATACATGGAAGTTAGCACTGACAGAGACATATCAAGAGAAAGAGACACGACACTGATGAGAGGTTGAAAAAATAGAAATATCTCAGGAGAAATGACAGAAATAAAGGACACAGATGCTTTCACAACATCCAGGTGCCATATGAGTATTATTATAAAATGTGTGTGGAGGATCTGAAGCCATGGGGTGGCAGGAAACAGTCAGTCCAGTTATATGACGGCATTATGAGTTCTTCTGTGAGATTTTGATGGTGACTGCCTTGACCTCAGTGTACTCCTGAAGAGCGTATTCCCCCCTGAAATACAAAAACACCACAGGTTATGTAAGGAAAAAACTCCTACATGAGCTTGTGATGAGCAACATTTTCCTGTCAAGGTGCAATGTTACAAGTACCAAAGTACCAACCTACAAGTAGCTGTGTGGTAGATATAAATACAGTCAGTATAAAAGAGTATAAAATGTTTAGACTCGTTTTGATCAAAATGTTAAAATGCTCATCTGAGTCTGCAGTTATTACTATGCACTAACAGCACTAAGCTTTATAAACAGTTGCAAGTGACTGCCAGACTTTTTTTGGCCCTGGGTTTTGACTGTTAAGCAACATACAAGCAGCCCTACCTATCTGAAGCTTGTGAGGATGCATGCAGACACTATTTATCTGTTTTTATTTACAGATAATTCTCCGTAAAGGATGCTACAACTGATCTTCAATTGAAAATAATACAGTTAAAGAACAGAGCTCTTTGTGGTAAATAAATAAAACTGAGATTTAAGGTTTAAAGTACTTCTACTTCTGCATCCCATCACCCACCTGAGACCAAACCTACACCCTTGAGTACCAGCCATACTAAACCTGACATAATATACGACGGTATCACTCACAGTTCCCTCCCATTCCCAGACATCTTGAAGCCACCAAAGGGACACTGAACACTCATGGCATTGTAGCAGTTCACCCTACAAGAAAAGGAAACATTATTTTTTCCTAATTACATAAACTCAGTCATTTCACATGATGTTATTATTTAAAGGATGAATGTGTAAAATATGGCCAGAATTATAGTTTACAAATGTTTAAACATTCAAAACCAATATTATGTAAAGGATGTATAAAGTTCATAATACATTTTGCAAGGTGTCTTACTGTAAACGATCTTGAACTGTGTCATTGCATCAAGAGTGGGAAATGCTGCCCCCTATTTTTGTGGAGCATCTGGCCAAGCATTACACATTGCTACTTTAAAGTCTAATATAATTTTAAGAGAGGTTGCTGTGAGGACTTGCTAAGCAAATACTTCAGATTTCCCTGTTTTAGCCACCAACCCAGGACTGTTGAACATGATTCTTAGATGATTTGATCCCTACCAGACCATCCCAGCCTGCAGAGCAGAGGAGACTGTGAGGGCTTTGTCGATGTCGGAAGTAAACACTCCTGCTGCCAGGCCGTAGTGTGTGGCGTTGGCTCTCTGGATGACTTCATGGATGCTACGGAAACACATGATCTGCTGCACTGGACCAAAAATCTGGAGAAAGCGTGAGCACAGGAGGGAAAGCACACAGATGATCCACGTATTTGTCATGTGCACCAGGAAGTGTGTTTGTGTCGGTGCAGGTGTGTGCTTTAGAACAGAGTACCTCTTCTTTGGCGATGCGCATATCGTCTGTGACATTTGAGAAGACTGTGGGTTGGATGAAAAGTCCCTGCTGACCCCACGCGGACCCCCCACACTCCAGCGTGGCTCCTTCCCTCTTCCCGCTCTCAATCAGCTCCATTATCTTATCGAACTGCTTCTGGTCAATCTGCAGAGAACAGCAACACTCAGATGTTCTCTTGGAAATGGAGATGATCTAATAAAGGAATCAGTCTGACAGTATCTCGTACCTGTGGTCCTTGGTCTACCCCCGGCTGTAATGGGTTTCCCAGGACTTTTGATCTGGCCTTCTCTACACTGCGACAGACGAACTCCTGGTAGATCGGCTCCTCTACAAACACCCTGGATCCAGCCAGACAGCACTGGCCCTGGTTAAAGAACAGACCACTGTGGGCCTGCTCCACTGCGTACTGTACTGCAAGACACACACGCACAGATAAGTGCTGCAGCTACACTGCTGACAGGAAGTAAGAAGGGTGGCAACATTTCAGTGATTTCAATATTTTATGAACTTTTAAAGCAAATACTTTAAAATGACTAAAACTCAAAATGAAAACTTGAACAATCAATGTACATAAAATACACAGAATAATTTCAAGTTTACATAAAGCAAGCCTAAAAATGAGGACACTGACAGGTGATACAGTTCAAACATAATTAGTAGGTGCAACTTTAAAGCGTATTGTGTTAGATTTCTTTGTAATGTAGTTAGTTGCTGTATACAAATTATATTGCAAATTGTATCTGAATGAATACTTTTAGATTATTTCACAATCAAACATTGAAAATGCTACACTTTATACTGAAATCAAATGCAGCCACAAAAATTTGAGTTCCACAAATATAATTTTTTCTCTTTAAATATCTAAAAGAAAACGATTGCTCCAAATAAAATGTATTATGCATATCCAGCATGTACAGTTGGTCAAATCAAATAACACTTATTAATTTTAAAACTGACATATTTTAAAGACATAATAAAAAATCTAATCAAGTAATCCCTGAAAATAGGGATGCACTACACTTACTACTACTACGTACTTAAATTTAGGCACTTGCTGATACCGAGTACCGATATGAGTACTAATAATACCATTATAGGTCTAATGTTTTATTTTCATTAACAAATTAAATGTTGCAGGTTGTAAAACCTGCTCAACTAACGAGAGGTTACGTAACATCACACTGCTGTAAAGTGGCATCAGGTGCAGTATCTGAGTAGTTTTATGATTAAAAGTACGAGTACATGAGCTCAGTCTTGGATCCGATACTGGCATCACACAATAACAATGTAACTATAATACAGTTTCTTATTTTTTGTAATGTGATTACATAATCCTAATTACATGCAATTAATTACTACCCATCACTGGAAATGACATACAGTATATGTACACTGTAACAGTGGATGTACACAAATAACATAACATTTAAAAAGTAACTATAAAGTAATCCAGTGGTAAATAATAATAAAAAAATAAACCTACTCACAGTCACAGTCTGCAAACACAATATTTGGGTTTTTTCCACCGAGTTCTAGTGTAACTCTTTTCAGGTTGCTGTCACCTGCAGCCTTTTGAATGAGCTTCCCAACCTGGCAACCAATGAGAGATACACAGTTAAATTAGAGTGAAAGAAAAAATTTAATTATACTAAAACCGAAGAAAAGAAGAGGCACCAGCTCTATCTGCTCTTCATTTCAATAGATACTAACAGCAGTTGATCCGGTGAAGGCTACTTTGTCGATGTCCATGTGGTGGGAAATGGCACAACCTGCTGTCTGACCGTAACCTGGCACCACGTTCACCACTCCTGGAGGAAACCCAGCCTGAACACAGAGAGAGGGAGGGGGAGATTATATAATAACAAACCACTACACATACTCATCTTTAACTAGCTAGGTCTTTCTACTTTAACAGCTCTGCAGGTCTCTTTGTTCTTATATTATTGTTGGGGGGCGGGGCAGTAATCCAAGTACCTCTTTGATGAGAGCAGCCATGTGCAGTGCTGATAATGGGGTCTGTTCAGCAGGTTTGATGACTACAGTGTTCCCACAGCAGAGAGCAGGAGCAATCTTCCACGCAAACATCATCACCGGGAAGTTCCACTGTAGGCAACAACAGGAGGAACTATATAATATCTTTAATAAATGCATTTCCTTTGCAGCAGGTACATACAGATACACAAAATATTCTAGTTATGCTTTACACTTCATAGTCAAGTTCAAGTTTTCGCCTCAGAATTGTCTGTTTAAATACATTCATGATGAATTTACTATTTATTTAAGGATACAAAGTTATTTAAAACAGCAGTAGGTAACTTTTAGAAAAATAACATTTGGCATTTTTGCGGAAACTTTCACTATATCCTATCCTAGTGTATGAAACAGATAATTGAACAATTATCTTTTCTTGGCTCTGATTGCTTGTTTTCATTTAGACACAGTGAATTCTTGCTAATTAAATGCATTAGAAGCCCTTGGACATGCTAGATTATCTGTCACAGATTATCTGTCTCATTAGTCTCACTAGTACTGTCAGGATTCAGTGAAAGTTTCAACAAATATGACAAAAAAGTTGTAAATATGAAAGTTACCTACTGCAGCTTTAATTAAAACAACACAGGGTTGTAGAAAGAAATGTAGGTTGTAGTTCTCTTTATGCTACTCATAAAAATTTTTTTATATATATATATACAAAAAATGATATACAGTAACACTGATTCATTAGTCATAAAACATATGTTTCATATACACGTATGAAATAGAAATGTAAATATCTTAATGATATTCTTACATAAACTATAACTTTGTTAATTACTATAGTCACTGTACAGATTAATGAATTATCATTTGCTTTAAGTGTATCCAATCTTTCTAGTGTTTCTACAGAATTCGTTTTAATACTCACAGGAATGATCTGGCCACATACTCCAATGGGCTCATGTCGCGTGTAAGTAAAATAATCTCCATCTAAAGAAACATTTATAGTTAATTCATGGTAGCTTTAAACACATTGGGGCTTTTAGTGTTTACGTTAAAACATCAGTGGTAATATCATAATCTAAATGTATATTTTAAAGTTGTGAGGAATCAGTGCTGGTGACTCACCTACAGGGATGGTTTTGCCGTGAATCTTGTCTGCCCAGCCACCATAGTATCTCAAGGTTTTGATTGTGGCCACCAGATCTACAAAATATGCCATGAGAAACACCTTTCCAGAGTCCAGAGCCTCTAGTGTCTAGTAATAAGAAAAAAACTGAGTATTTAGTATACTAGCGTGTAACAACACATTACATAATAAAACAGCATTATTTTCTAAATTACACCTTTACGCAGATGACACAGTGATATACTCAGTTACTCCTTCACTGAGCCAAACTACTAATGGGCTTCAGACAGCATTGCAACAGCTTCAAGTCTCCCTACCTGGGCTCAAGTTAGTTCTTAATGCTAAGAAAACCAAATTCAATTAAAAAAAAGGCTCACTCTCAGTCGTAAGGTAACACAACTATCTACACTCTAAATGTGGACTCAATTGAAAAAGTGTCATCATATAAGTATCTAGGTATTTGGTTGGATGATTTCTATTTAAACTGGTCTTGGCCAGTCTTCCTTAAGAAAAGAGATATCAAGGGACTTTCTGGTTAAATAAAGGTTCAATTAAAAATAAAGAATTGTGTAATAACTTGACAAAATGTAATACATTTTCACCTGTGTTTTGTAATAAATTATTATTGGTGGTGGCTATTACAATATGTGGTAGTTTTTTAAAGACCACTGCAGGATTCAACCCTGCTAAAAAATAAAAGCGTGAATAATTTTTCCAGGTTGGCATCTGACATGAAATCCCTAGTTTTGGCTGTATTTGTAAAATGTTAACAAGCTGACTATAACTATAATGCCAAGGGGGGCACCACAGGTCATACAGTCTAATTCAATATTTGGGAAGTTTAATTTAGGTTAATTGTTAAAAATATACTCTTGTGTACAGATGAAGACATTAATTTTGGTTATTACATAATGCACCATATTATTACATTTTCATTGTAAAAGTTGTAATAACTCCCACAATATGTAACAATTGAATACAAAACACAGGGGAATGTGTTACATTTTCATTTACACTGTTTATTATATTGTAATTACAAAATGCATTGTTACAAATTACTTCATAGGAATAAACAAGTTGATTTTTCACTACAAACCTAAATATTGTGGAGCAATATTATGTGTGTGTGTGTGTGTGTGTGTGTGTGTGTGTGTGTGTGTGTGTGTGTTTCTCACTGCCAGTAGTAGCCGGTCTCTCTCCACTAAGTCTGCCAGTCTGTTAAGGAGTTGACCTCGGTCTGAGGCGTCCATGGAACGCCACGGCGACCCCATCTGGAAGGCGGCTCTGGCACTCCTCACTGCCTTGTCCACATCTTCCTGGAGGAGGTTCAAGTGGAGGAGGCAGTCACCAAAGTCAAGACAGAAATAAATGAAACTGTTACAGGATAAGGGAAATCACAGTTAAAACAACCAAAGAGCTATAAGAGCAATAAGAAGAAAACAGTGGATATGTCAAAAAAGAAGCTTCTTCAGTATGAAAAAATAGAAAATAGAAAAAATACATAAAACAGACAGAGAATTGTATAAAATGTACCTACAAACATCAAGAAACTCATCTCTGATGTAATATTTGCAGGAAATAATAAAAAATTCATCCGAATTGCTCGTTTTACTCAAACTTCCTGCAGTTATTGTGTTCACTCTTTGGGTTAATTGCAAAGTTTATCAGTTGTTCTGTACTGTTGTTGTTATGCATTGAATGTAATATGAAATTTACATCAAATATGTCACTCAGTCAGGGGTTGTCAATTTACTCCATGACAGAAAAGGGGTCCCTTAAGGAAAAAGGTTGGGAACCACTGATGTATAATATACTCACAGAGTCAGCCTCCTCCACTTCACACAGCAGCTTCCCTGTGGCGGGATTATACACAGGAATCTTTCTTCCGCTGCCGGACTCATGCCACTCGTTATTGATGAACAACTGAGATACCAGAGGAGGATCAGAAAAGAACAATAACAGATTCTTCAAGTAAATGTTTTCGTCCTAAACACATGGCGCACAGTATCAGCTCTCCTCAGCCTGATGAAATTAATAACCTGTGTTTAGTGGGAGTCATTTTGCCTGCTGAGATGTTTTTTTTTTTATGAGATGCATCTGGCTTGAAGAGTATTTTCAGATAATTACTTTCAACCGTGCCCTGACTGATAAATGACCAGTAAATATTGCCCCGCTTGTTTCATCTTGTCAAAACCACATCTCCATTCACCTCTAATTACAAGCTGACACACCACGTTTTTCATTTTCATTTTATAACACAAACCACAATTACTAAATTGGTACACAATGCCATATTAAAGGGCAAGTGAACCAATTAACCAACCAAGGTCGATTCGCCAAAATTCAGACCAGATGATGCAACTCACAATCTGCCTGGTAAGAATGCAACACAGTTAGAGAATTAGTGATGCATGTTAGGGTGAGGATGAAAGGAAATATCAAAACCACAATTCTTTCAAATTTATAATTGTAAGACTTCCAATACTTGATTTCCTGAATTAAAACTCTTATAAAGATCACTGTGTAGTGGATCCGAACCACACCAACATATGCAAAAAGTTGCTGATTTATATATTCAAAAAAAACTCTTAATCCTGAGTGTCTGAGTAAATTATGTGGCATTTTGTAAACCTTTTTCTTAGGAGATAAACTGCCCTCTAGGAACAAAGAAATCTGATCTGGAGCTCAGTTGGTTGGTTCAGTCCCGTCTGCTTTGTGTCTCGACTGCCGGGTGCAGCTTACCTTCGTGTACTGAATGGGGGGGTCTGGGATCGGCATGGGCAGGGCCTGCGTCTCAGGTCCGTCTGCAGGCTGTGGTTGATGGTTCTGGTTCAGACCCTGGTGGTTGCACCCGTTGCCAGCCTGCTGCTGGTGGCCGCTGTCGGGCTGGGAGTTCATGTTGACATGCTTTCCCTCTGAAAAATACAAATGGAAAATGGATGTCCACTCGACAGAGGTGGCAAAAGTACAAAAAAGACTAAGGTAAAAGTAGAAGTACTGAAAAAGTACAGGCTCTGAAATATATGTATAAAAGTACTCTCTTGGTTTCTCTAAAGGACATTTCTACCTGCTGTTTCTGTGCAAAGCTTACGTCTGTCATGCGTGATATGCACTGGTCTTGATCTTGGAAAGGGGTGCAATGATGAAAAAAATACAAATAATAATCAATAATTCCTCTCAAAGGAATTAAAATTAAAGTAACAAGCCTGTTTTGAAAATGTAAGGAGCAGAAAGTGCAGATATTTGTGTAAAAATGAAGCCACCAAGTAATGTACAGATATCTGAAAAAACTGCTTAAGTACAGTAAGGAAGTGTTTGTACTTTGCTACTTCCCAACTCCGCCACTTGAGCTTGTTTTCCCTGTGCATGCGTGTGTGTTCACACATACACTGTAGTGCATGTGTGAGAATAGCTCCTTTCGTGTGTCACCATAACACTGTGAATAAGTTGCCATCCCAACTGGCTGGAGAGAAACTGTGCCAAATGAGGTACTGGCACTGTCGGCAGGGTAACACCAGCGGGGTCAAGGGTTACGACTGGCACCGTAAAGTCGGGCTGGCTCTGAGTTGTGGACTAGCCTGACCTCATTTGGACAGAGAAGATCGGAGAACAGCAGGATGCAGGCCGGAGCAAAAACACTACAAGAGGTGTCATATTAAAAAACTTTGATTGTAAATGATGAGAAACAGTTTAAAAGGTTGTGTGAGTAAGTGCATGTAAGTGACAGTACTAACACTATATTAACAGTGTGGACTAATGTAAGTGTTAACTGTAATCTGGTCCCTTCAAAATAAATGGTAAATGGACTTCATTCATACAGCTGAGAATTGAACCAACAACTTTTAGATTCTTAGGTGATCCACTCAACTACCTGAGCCACAGCAATGCCAAATATTTAGCTTCACTTGTTATTTTTGCTGTGGTGCTTTCAGTAAATTATTGGCTTTTCCAGCATTATTGTTATTTCAATATGTTACAATGACTGAAAACAGTATGAATAATGTGCTAAATGTTGCCCTAAAGCTCAATAGTTGGTCAGTTTTTCCTCCAGAATGAACTACAAATACAAAAAATACCAAAAATGTATCAAAATAATGGGATTTAGAAGACAAGGCATTTGTTTAGCACTGGACTAGCTGGGAATCGAACCGACAACTGACAACTGATTCTCAGCTTAATATTTTTGCTGTGGTCAAAATAGAAAAACAAACATAAGGCCTGGTACTTTCAGTTAATTATCGACTTTAGCAGCATGATTGATATTTCAATATGTAACAAGGAGTGAAAATATATGGATAATGTGCTCTATAGCTCAATAGTTTCCCTCTCCAGAACCAACTACACATACAGAAAACATCCCAAAATGAGCCACTGAAAATAAATGGGATTTAGAAAAAAAAAAAATAGTCCTTAATAATAATATAATATATTAATAATTACAAATTAAAATTAAAACATGAGAAAAAGTAAGAAAAACAGTGTGAAAACATGAAAAACTGGCAATTAAAAGAATCTAAATCTCTTTAAATGACATTAATATATGAAGAACAGAGACATATGATGATTTAGGAGTAGCCTATTTAAACATAAAGTGTATAACCTGAATTTAAAGGTGTTTAATATCCTAAAAAAAAAAAAAACGCTCCTTCTTCCACATTAAGCTCCACAATAAAACATAATGTTCGGTAATGTCTGACAGATTCACGGTGTAAGCTGAAGGTCGCAGTCTTTAAAAAGTTACCCACCTGCGGAAGGAGCCGGTGAGTTTCCTCCGGTCTGGTGGATTCCGGTCACGGGCATGTTGCAGTTGTCTGTCCGCCTTCCTCTCACCGTCAGTGGACCGGAGACCCGCAGAGCAGCTTTATATATACCTGCCGCACTCAAGCATCAGGGGTACCGCCGCACCGGGAGTCCTCCTCGGTCCTCTGAGGGTCCCGCTGCACGCGCTAATCACCGTTCAGACGGAACCAATCCCAGTTTACCCTACGTGCCCCGCGAGGCTGGCGCGCGCGCAGCTCAGCTCCTCTGAGTTAGCGTCCATTACAGTGAATGGTAGGTATCTGTAATGTTATTTATTCATATTTAATGTACATTTAATGTTTCATCAACAGTCAGGAGACAAGAATTTAAGTTTTTTAGCGTCTTACTTTTGATAAATAAGAAAGTTTTTCCTATGTTTTATATATTTTTCTAATCTGCCATACACAGGCCTTTGCTTTTAGCACAGTTTCTGACCTTTTCCCACCAAAAATCACCATTATCTGTATCTATAGGACACATACTGTGCATGTATAAGTGTTTGAAACTCTTCATTGCTTCAAATCTTTTTTTATTGAGCCACAGAAAGTTATACAGAGTATATAACTGTGTCAGTATTCATTTTCAAAATATCTTAATTTACATTTAGAGATAGATAAAATATAAGATACAGTATCAAACACAAACAATAATAAATAAAAAGTAAGAATAAGATGAATGCATATATACAAAATCTAAATCTAAGAACAGGTGCATAGCTCAGATCAAAGCGGTCTTGGAGCCATTCTTATCTTCCTAACCCCCTACCCATCTCTCACTCATTCAGTGATTGGATCAAATAAAGCAGGAATAAAAGGGAAATTGTGATCAGATGCTCAGGAGCTCCTGTGTGCAAGGTAAGATATGAGTGGTTGTCAAATCACATTGTATTGAAGGAGCCTGTCAAATGAAATTAGACTCTTCTTAAGTTATGTGAATTAACATTTCTCTTCTTTTTTTAAATTGCTTTCCCCCATATAAATAGATAACAAATGTCTAATAATCTAATAACAAAGTCTGATCAAAACACCTCATCAGTGTTTTTGCTGTGTAAGCTGAAGCATAAAAAGCTGCTTTGAGCAAGGCCAGACGTTTGAACCTCTCAGTCTTTGAAGTGACGGCCACTTGTTGCATTGCTGTGCTTCATTGCATCACTTCGTGTCCACACGCAGCGCATGCAGAGGGATAGGCCCCGTCTACGAGGCAGCAAACATAATTGGGAAGATGTTTGCTTTGATAAGCTGCCTCCTGCTGCTTCGCTGTCTCCCGGGAACAATGTGATCACATAACTTTGTCTGGTGCGCCTATTTTGATCCTGGCACACATCCCTTTGAGAATTGTTCTGCAAGGGACTACACAACCTCTGTAATTAACCCTTGTTAAACAATGGAAAGATCAGCAGAACTGCAGAGGAAAACCATCTTCCCATACTAATGTATAGAGCTCTGTTTTGTCATACAGTTGACTTGAGGCTTGTGTTTGAAGGCAGTGGGTTTGGGTGAGTTAGACAGTATGTTGTGAGTGGATGGAGCACTATGCATCCGAGCACTGCTTGCCAATAAATGTATATCTTAACAATTTTGTGCCTCAATGAGGACTTTTCATCAAAAACATACAGTATGGATTGGAAAGTACAAGCTCATTTCAAGTTTTTTGGCATTGTGTGTGTGGCTGTCGGGTCTCTAACCCTGGTCTTGCTTTAATGTTTGAATAAAAGCAACACATTCTCCTTCTATAGACACTTCGGCTGGCTCCACAGACTCAGTGTGTGTCTCGGCTCTGTCTGCCAGAGCTAATGACAAGACCGGACCGGTCCACCGGGTCAAAGGAGCTGTCGCTTGGCCTGACAGCACCGGGTGTCCCACAGTTGAGCTTGAGCTAAATTGACGGTTCGGTGGAGAGGATGAAAGATGGAGAGCGAGAGATAGTGAGAGAACTGTGGAGGAGGATGTAGTGCAGGCATGGAGGACAAGAAGAGAAATGAGGGATGAAGGTGGGAAAAAGAGTGAGGAGAGAAAGGAAGGAGAGAGCTTGAAGAAGAGAGAGAAGTTGCAGAAGTTTTTAAGCAAATCACACTGAATCTGATCTTTTCCTATTCTGATTTTGGCCACTTTGGCATCAATGTGAACTGTTTTTATGTGACTTTCACGTCGCTCTATATCAAAGATTTGTCTAAATTCTGCTCTGGCGGGAGTCACTTAGTGCATATGTGACCTCTGTGGGACGTTTCCTGTCTAAAGGAATCTCCTGGAGGTGGTTCAGGTTGGTGGTAACAACAGGTTTACTCCACATTTAACCCTAACCGTCACGCGTGCTCTGTCTCAAAAGATGGCATCACGTTAATGTTAGCAAGCTTTACTGGAGAGTTTTTTTTGTACTGGCTATAAAACCAGTGCCTGAAATGGAAAGTCCTTATTTTCATCCATGAGTACCTGTACTTCTTATTGAGTATCACCACCTGTGAGTCTAGGTACACTCCCCCAACAGCACTCTGCAAAGACCCCGCACTATAACACAATATAATAATAATAAATTATTATATTATAGATGGGGTCCACCTGCTGTTCTCTACAGATGTCTGTGTTGCCATCGTAACAAAAGGTTGAACTAACTATTACTGACACAACACATGTAACACTTAATTTGGATAGTCCGCCTCCAGATATTTTAGTATTTCTAACATTTCAACAGTTTTGCCAAACAAGATGTTTTTTGCACCTAAACCAAACCAAACCTTAACCACAGTGGTGTAATGTCAGAAAACGGTTGTTGAAATGTTTAAAAAAACTATCCAAATAAAGTGTTAACAGCAGCTGCAGGAACATTGTAGCCTTGCAATGTGAATCCATTGGAAACCAGCATATGAGGTTGTATTCGGGGGCGGGTCCAGTATGGTGGCACCTAGGGCAAAAAAAACCCTAAAAAAAGCCACCTTGGGTGCCACCCCAGTTTTGTGTCAAATGCTCTCAGATTTAACACATTAATTATAAACTAAATTAATTTAATAATCTGTTATAGCCAAATTTTAGACTCTTATTGGGAAAAATGTCTGAATATTTGGAAATAAAACTATTTCTTTATATATTATTTTACTAATGTACATTTAAATATCTTCATTTGGGGGCGTTTCCAAGGAAATATTGATAATATGTGATTGTTTTGGATTAAATCAGCGTCTATTTCTTTCCCTTAAAGTCTCCATGCCACCTTCTGGCCACCCCATGAATATTTCTCTAGATCCGCCCCTGGTTGTATTGGATTTTAATATAGAGGTGTTCCTGTTATTGTGTCCACAGACTTCCTGAAGTTGTGTATAACGATTTGAGTGAGAAACCAGCAGCCTGAAAGCATGACCTCAGTCCAAACTGTTGGGAGACCTGAAGTCAATGTAAGCAGATGGACAGCGCCCCCTTGTGACCTATCACAGACATTACATTGTTCATAAAACTTCTAGGGTCTGTGAACAAGTGGTGGAAGAAGTTAAAGTACTAACATCACAATGTTTTATTATGTACAATTAAAAGTCCTGAATTCAAATTCAGATATTTAAATGTTGTTTGGTTAGTTTTGAAAACACATTAAATTACATATAATCCCTTAAAAATATTATTTAAACCAACGCACTGAAACTAACATCCTTGTGATGGACAGAGGGAACCGGAGAGGAGGAGCCCACATTGTGAATGGTTCCGGTCGGCAGTCAAATGGGCCAATGTGGTCACCGGCTGGCTGGGCCGAACTCATCTTTCACCCTGAGCCAAGTTTCTCGCCATGTGCGCCTCTCTATTGTGAGCGGGCAGCAGCTCCCTCTGCAGGGGGCCCGGCTGCTGCTGAAAGGGATGTCCCGGACTGTTCGTGAGGACCAGACCACAAACGTCTGCTTGCTGAGTATTTTGGTCTCTGCTCTGGTCTCTGTTGTCCGGGTCACTACTTTTACACACCAAAGTTACAGAGGATACCGCAGGGGTTAGTTTTCTATCAGAAATGTTTGTCATGTATCTCGTTTTTTCTGGTCTTGTTGCTTTATTCCTTTTAGGATCCTATTGTTTACTTTTTGTAAAAAAATCCTCTCTATTTAGAGACAATTTGTCTTTTAACAGTTTCTCTCTCTCTGTCTCTCTCAGTAGTTACAGCTTACCTGCCAAGATGAGACTGACGTTTGCGACTCTGCCACTCAAGGAGAACCCTTGTGCCTCTCTGTCTAGTGTCACTGTTGCTCTGTGTCTTCTTACCCTCCTCCTGATGGCCCTCAGGGGCCGAAAGAGCCACCACCACTGCTCCCAGCTGGATCACACAAGATATCCCCCTCCTCCTGGTCCCACGCCGTGGCCCCTTGTTGGCAATCTGCTCCAGATGGGGGACCAGATTCATCTTTCTCTCACCCGTTTGAGGCTCCAGTACGGCGATGTTTTCCAGGTATTACAGTAAAATGTGTTGTTTTTAGGACGGAGGATTAAGTATTCATGCATTCATTCAATCATTTGTTGATTCCTTTGGTCTAGATGCGTCTGGGCTCTTTGACCGTCGTGGTCCTGAGTGGATACAACACCATCAGACAGGCGTTGGTTCGGCAGGGAGAAGCTTTCGCCGGCCGACCTGACCTGTTCACGTTCTCTGCCGTAGCCAACGGGACCAGTATGACCTTCAGTGAGAAGTATGGACCAGCCTGGATGCTCCATAAGAAGCTGTGTAAGAATGCCCTTAGGTCTTTCTCCCAGGCTGAGCCCAGAGGGTCCGGTGCCACCTGCCTGCTGGAGGAGCAGGTCTGTGCTGAGGCAGCAGAAATGGTGCAGGTGATTCGGGAACAGGCTGCTGCTGAAGGGGACATGGCCGGTATAGATCCAGTGAAGCCCCTGGTGACCTCAGTGGCAAACGTCGTCTGTGCCCTCTGCTTCGGGAAAAGGTACGACTACAACGACAAGGAGTTCCTCACTATTGTTCACATCAACAACGAGGTCCTGAGGATCTTTGCAGCGGGGAACCTGGCTGATTTTTTCCCCGTGTTTCGCTACGTTCCAAGTCCATCTCTGAGGAAGATGGTACAGCACATCCACAGGATGAACGGATTCATGGAACGGAGCATCGAGGAACACATCAAAACCTTTGATAAGGTAAGGAAGAGTTTAGTTTCAATGCAGAATTACGTGACAGTATTTAAAGTTTTGCAGGTTGAGTCTTTATTTGTGTTTTTTTTAATATATATATTTTATTGCCTTTAATCAATAGTGACAGTTGAAGAGGGACAGGCAGGTAGAGAGAGAGAGGGGATTGGTCAGATTTGAACCCTGGGACACAGCAGCAAAGACTCAAGGAGTCTTGGTACATTGGGGGCCAACTCTACCAGATGAGCTAGGTGGGTGCCCCAACATTTTATTTGTTGAGGGACAAAATCAACATTTGTAAGAAGAAGAAAAATAATTCACTATTTAAGGTTTTTTAAGGGACATGCAATGCAAAATTAAAATTTTACAGAAAGCTGAACCCAGTGTCACATTCCTATAATGACCCAGCCTCCACAATGATTTGTTAATTATTATAATGATGTCATAATGACTAACTAACTTTATCTCGCCCTCAGCCAGAAGTTTTTGGGGCGAACCTCCACAGGGAGGAAATGGAAGTGAAATTATAACATTAGATATCAAAAGGAGTTCACATACAACATAAATGTGTGCGATTTTGTTTAAGAGATTAAAGTCATTGTTGTGAATTTAACAAATGTTCCCACTTTTTTTTAATGAATTGTGGCAGTTATGTCAAACAGCAGGCTACATTATCTTAATTATTTAGTGTCTATGGGATGAAACAACATAATCATGATCCCATAAGCATCCCAGCTTTGTCTGAGGGTCTCAGACTTTAACCCCTGCCCTCCAATCTACTGGACAGTGATCACACAATACAAAATATTTCCAGGACTGCCTAATGTGGTGGATGGCGTGTCTGTAAGTGTTGTTTTCTTTAGATCTGTCCCACTAATTTGCCGTCCACTATTTAATCTGACATTGCACTCATGCAGTAGTAGCTGTGAGTGCAACTGTAGCCAAAGAAATAACAAACAAGTTCCCTGGGAGGGGCCTTTGTTCTTGTGCAGAGTGGCTAAAATGTTCGCACGCACTCTAATTAGGAATTAGCATCCCACTGGAAGACACGCGTCGTACCATAACTGATTACTGTCTCTTCCATAATTATCGCTTTTAAAACGTTGAAGCTCTGTTTCTCTTCTACTCTGCATTGTCGTTGATCAACATACAGTTGATAAAGATAGCTTGATGTTTCAGTGATGATAACGAGAATGATTTAAGGGAGACAGTCAATGTTAAATATCTCGTGTGTTTGTGTGATTGCAGAACTGTATCCGGGATATTACAGACGCTCTGATTGCACTTTGTGAGGACAGAGAAGAAAATAAGGATATGTCTCTGCTCTCCAACTCTCAGGTCATTCACAGTGTCATCGACATCTTTGGAGCAGGTTAGACACGCTGCAGATTCAACCTATATTATCATTAATGACAAATAGTCGTCGTAATATTGGTCGTCTTGATGAAGATAATTACTCTCTTTTGTGATTTTCAAAAGGATTTGACACCATCATCGCTGGTTTACAGTGGAGCCTGTTGTACCTGATCAAGTTTCCAGACATCCAGGACAGAATTCATCAGGAGATAGGTACGGTCTTATGACGTGTATTAAGACAAATATAGTCTGAGTGCAACAATAATGTGAGTCTGATGTGTTTTTTTCTGCAAAACATTTCCACATTAAATCCTCAAAATGGTTGCTATTCCTTCTACCTCATCAAACCTCGTTTTCTACTTCACTGTAAAGTCCATTCTCAGTGTTTGTGCACTGGTAGCTACAAGTTTCTACATCACACTTGTATAAGTCGCACACTAGACCAGGATTGACTTCCAAGCTATTTTCGATGTCACAAAATCTGATTTTAGACTTTCAATGAACACAGAGAAACTCCACTTTCAGTAGATGAATGTGAAAACATCCAACTAGTGTCAAACTTTGCACATACATAATTCAGCACACTGAAGCTCAAACATCCAACTGTAGGAACAAGAAGAAAAACACATTTTTGACTGGAGGGGGAATTCAAATGTGATCAATCTCTGCTGTCCATATTGGTGTGATGTGCCCTTTTTTTATTTGCACACCATCTTTACAACAAATCTTTACTAGAAAGAAAGCCACTTCACATCTTATAGCATCTTATCTAAAAAAATTAATTCATGCTATGCTAAATAGCGAGGGCTAGTCCAATATCCAGTGAAGCATTCTCATATCCAGAAATAGACGTTTGCTCATTAACGATTAACACATCACTGATGAGCAAAGATTGTGGCTGGTGGTTTTTAATTTTAGAGGAGAAGGTGTTACATACAGTAGCTCCTAATATTTGAAATATGAAAAAGATACAGAGATCAGGGCTAAATTTAGCTCTTATCTGCTGAAATATGTAAAATATTTAATCCAAAAAGCGATTTTTAAGGACTCAAATAGTTGAAAAATTGACATCTTTGTAAGAAATGTATCATCAGCACAGGAATAGCCAGGCATATGTGATGTCTGTTTGCAAGTATAAAAATATCAGGCAGAATCAACATAATGGAAACCCAACAATGGCCAACCCGAGTGCCCTTCCCGGACAGACAGAATCCGACAGCCACCAGAGGAACTCACAAAAGATCAGTCCAATTTGCTGACGCCAGAGCAACTTTTGTGGGTTGACAGAACTGGTGCTGTCTGTTCTGAGGCACGTTGCATTTTCACAGAGAGAGTGAGAGGGGGGGGGGGACTAAGAGGAGACAGGATGAATCAGAACGAGAGAGGGAGGCACAAACAGCCAGAGAAAGAAAGAAAGAAAGAAAGAAAGAAAGAAAGAAAGAACGGTTGGAGAGTTGTTCCAGACCGACACAAAAGCCGCAACACGCAAGGCACAAAGTTTGACATTCTTCACTTACTCATCACTTCAATTAATTTTAAATCAAGCTTTCATTCCACTGTTTACAGTAGGATCGCCACTTTAGTGGAAACCTTATGAATGAATTAGTGAGAGCAACATTTTTAATTGATTTGAAAGATGAACATTGTTCATGTCGGCGTAATTACTTGTTCGTGCAATGTTACAAACTTCAAAAGACACAACAGACCTCAGCTGTTTTAACCCCAGTGATTCTCAGCCTTCTTGGTGTTACAGACCCACAAATGGATACAGGTCAGGCTGCAGACCCCGTATTTAATAAGATGTAGTCTGAGGGATCGTTCTTATACATTCTTTCATCAGCCTAACTTTTAGCTAATTAAATAATAGGGAAATTAAAAAATTCTCTTCATTCTGACTGAACTCAAGTGCAGCTCAAATTTACAGACAGATGAACTTTTGAGGTCTAGAATTAAATGTAATGACAATGCACTTATATCAGGAACTATCTATATAGCTGAGTGATTTGATGTCAGACCCCAAATTCAATTACCCATTTTTTCCATTGAGAAAAACCTCCAGTGGTGTTCTTTGCTCTTCTTTCAATAAAGAAATACTCCTTAGCAGCCGCTATTGTTGTTTAATGAACAGTGTCCTCTCGATTTGTCACGCCTAGCACCCAACTCTAGCTGCCAGTACTTCCTCAAAGGACTCTGATTGGTTCAGTGCCACTGTACCTGCCACAAATGCATGGACTGAAGGTTAAAAGTTCTACTAGCCAAACACTAACTAAACCTGCATCCCAGTTCAGGGTCTGTAACACCATGATCCTAGTCAACTCAACAAATCTGGAAAATATATCAGTGTTTGTTCTTGTAGGTAGTCGGGACACAGGTCCTCATAGTTTTATAAGTTATCCGCTATTATGAAACATAAAGCTCCAGTTAACCACTACTCTTTTGACAGTTATTTGGGGCAACTTCCTGGTGAACAACTTTACAAATTGCACCTTAATTAAACTTTTGAATTGTAAAAAAGCTTCCCCAGTTTTCCATACATTTCTAATGTGGTTTGGTGTTGGGTTTTTTTTTTTCTGTAGATGAACACATTGGCACAGCCAGACTGCCGAGGTTTTCAGATAAACCGAAGATGCCTTTCACAGAGGCGTTCATATATGAAGTCTTTCGTCACGCTTCATATGTCCCTTTTACCATTCCTCACTGGTAAGATCGACTTGATTGCAGTACATTCATGTTTGTAGTACAGTATGTACTTTACTCTGGTTGTCTCTCCTTCAGTACCACCAGAAACATCACCCTGAATGGATACTTCATTCCCAAAGATACATGTGTCTTCATTAACCAGTATCAAGTCAATCATGATACGTGAGTATCCGAAAGCAATCATCAACACATTATGGCGTTCTACTATATGTTTTAGTTGTTCGATTGATTGATCTTCATGTTCTCCTCTCTGTCCCAGTGATCTCTGGGGCGACCCGGACACATTTCGCCCCGGACGCTTCCTGGGTTCGTCAGGACTCCTCAACAAGGAGCAGACGGAGAAGGTTCTCATCTTCGGCATGGGGAAGAGACGCTGTCTCGGTGATGGAGTTGCACGCTTGGAGATGTTTGTCTTTCTCACCACGCTGCTCCACGGGCTGCGGATTGGAAGTGTTCCGGGGCAGGAGCTGGATCTCAGCACCGATTTTGGTCTGACTATGAAACCACGTCCATACAGGATTACTGTGTCCTCGAGGTTTTAGCCAGCCAAAAAACATGTGATGCTCTGTGAGGATGTTTTGGAATATGTTAACCTTAATTATGCAACAGAGATACAGTACCTCTCATGACTCTATGCTGTATGTACAGATGTGTTCCTGTTTTTAGAAATGAGCTAGAATTAGCATTGAATATGAACTAACTTTATGTTTGTGTTGGAAACAATATTTATGACAAGCGAGGGTCATTCAAAGTGCTTCTGTGCTTGTACTTTGAAAGGGTCCCTCCGCCTTCCTGTCCCAGCACATTAAAAAATGAAAGTGGCCTCTCATTAAAAGCCTTTATCTTAAGTTATTAGCTCCAGTTAAACAGTGAGGGAGGGAGAGAGCGGGTGTTTGAGATTGGCGATCAGCGCTTCAGGCCAGAAACTGTGTTCATGCAGGGTTCATCCTCACTCTCGTCAACGCCTCTTCTCTTTCTCCTCGCTTCAACTTTTCTCATATCTCCTCCTCATCAGTTCGATTCCTTTTATCTTCTAATGTCCTCGTCTTGTTCCTGTCTTTTCCCCCCCGTTCCCTAGCTCCTCCTCGTCTTTTATCGTAGCTTCAAGGCAAACACTAACTCCTCTGCCCTCATCTCCAAAGTCTCCCCCAGTGGCTCTCTGAGGAATGACGCAGATATATATATTAAGACATACAAGTTCCCCTCGTCTTTGAACATCGGTGCTGTGACCTCCCACACACTCAGATTAGATTCAGTCCTGCACATCTTTGAGGGAGGTAAAGAGGACAGCGCAGTGTGAAATCAGGCATTTCTAAATGTAAAGAGGCATGGCAGTATGCGTACGAACAAGAAGAGCAAGAACTGGGAACTTCATCCTTAAATGCAAAGTTTGAAAGTTATGTTCATGGCAGTATTTTCTCTTTTAAATTCTTATCTATCCGGGGAAAGGCTACTGAAGGCTTGTGTTCTTTTCCAGCAGAGTCCTAACTGCATTTACAGACACAATCTTATAGTTTGAGAGTTGTTACACTTAAACAGTTGAAGGTTAAGAGGAAACAACAATTTTTAGTCAAGTATTTAGCTAGAGGGCTGCGAAACAGGCTAAAATGTAATCTTTCCTCAAAGTGGATCCACTAAAAGTGCCACTGACAGGCTCATATTGTTATTATAAGGAAATACATATGGAAAGATCCCTACAGAGATAGACCTTTTTGCTAAAGCCACCAGATTTAATTGACAAAAGCACTAATTTTACCTCTCAGAGCCAGAGACGGGAGTTGCCTGCTGGTTTAATGTTGCCTCCATCAGTTAGTTTGTTTGTGTTATTATGTGACTTTGGTTGGTTTGGATCTGAACTAACCATTTCCACCATGAAGATGTTTCCAGCAGTTAACCTTTTCAACAAAAAAAAAAAAACTTGCTTATTCCATAGATGGATACATTTCTGGGAGTATTTCAGTAGCAGTGAGGATTTTTAATTGTGTTTAAAGTCTCAATTTTAATCTTGCTTTATTTCTGTAACATCTGTTTTGCGCATTTGTCTTTTTGCTTGTATGTGTACACGTCTGTCTTTGAGACAGACTTTGGTTTGCTTTTAAAAGTGCTATATAAATAACAAAAAAACTTGAAATTATATTGGTATTTAAACCACTGCAGAGAATACAAGCTGATTTGAATTAATGTTCCCTAGTGGATGAATTGTAATAATTTTGGTGATCTTCTGAGTTTTCTACTTGCGAAATAAGCAGGTTTGTAGTTTTGACTTGTCCTGTCCTCATGTACTTTTGTTAATTGTACTTTCTATGACATTCCCATCAACCTTAGCCGTAGCTCACCATTTGTTTATGGCTAATTAGCTAATGCTAGCCTCCTAAAATGCTTGAAAGGAATTCCCTGGTACTTTTTGTGTGTCATATGTCAGGTTTTCATTTTTAAAAATGTGGTTTTCTAAATAATAAATTATCTCTTGAAATCATTATTATAGTAAATGTCAACAGACTTTGTTGGTGGCACCAATAGTCTCTTCTTAACAATAAAAGTACTAAAATATTGTCAAATAAAACAGTAGTTTGAATGTCATCTTCTAACAATATCTTTGTATGGTGCATATAATAACTTCTGAGATCATACTTGTAACATGAAAATAAAAAGGAAAATACTTAACTGTAGTGTAACTTTCATATCGTCCTCATATGTCGTCAAACACCGTCTCATGACAGCAGGCCTTACGCCATTTACTTTATTAAAGGCATCATTCCCAGTTTGCCTGTGTGTGGTCATGTATACAAACCATTTACGGTGGTAAATTGGTTTGTGTTGATTAATTAACAAAACACACCCAGAGGATGAGACCTCAGCCCCCTCATCAACCCTGTTCACTCTCCATAAACTCTCTGTAGCTCTCTGCGTCTTTGTCTCTCACTTTGTTCTGGTCCACGGAGCTCACAGTAGGATTTAAACTATGGCTGTCATTAAAGAATAACAAATCACAGTGAACATATGCTGATTGGCCTCTGATCTAAAGCAGCCAATAAAACACAGCACGCAAAGCCAGGAATCATGGCTCTAATGTGGCATAACAAAGAGAAGCACTTGTGGGGCCCGCAGTATGGATTAAAAATGCTGAACAATTAAGATTGGGCCCAGTTGCAGACAAAAGACAGTCTACTTATAGAGACTGCACTAACATGCCACCCACGACTCAAATAATTTTAGTTTGAAGCAGCGACTCTGACTGTGTAAGTCTGAGCCAAGGCCTAAAACAAACCAATAAACACTAAAATCAATCTCTCTATAACTATTCAGTTACATTATCGCTTCGCCACATGGTCACACATAGGAAACAGTAACATATAAACATTTAAAACATTTGAGGGTGTGATTTTTTGATGTATTAGCACCAACAAATTACAAAGAAATCTGCTATTTTCCCTCCAAACTGCCACTTTTTAAGTCTTCCCCTTCATACGGTCTTCTTAACTTTCTGTCATAACGCTCTAATTTAAGTAAACCCCCTGCCCGTCTGAAAAAAAGAAAACACCAACAGGACTCGTCCTTTGCGTGTTTGAGAGTGTCCATTCCCAGCCAATGGATATGACCCTGTAACAGTATAGGAACGGGTCATGGGCCCCAGAGACTTAACCTCTCAGCTCTAATGGGCTGCAAACAATAGGGGTACAAACTGAATAACCAAGTGACTTCCTATTTGCCTCTTCAGTTACACGTGGGGCCCTGCATTGTTGGGGCCTCATTCTATAGACCCTGGCAGGCAGCACCTATTAACAAACTGCACGCAATCCCCTGAATGCAACAGTCGGTGCCCCTAATTTGAATGTTTGCGATAAACTGAAGGATTAAGTGTTCCTTCATGGCTTGAGAAAATTCACCGACTTCTTGAGCTAAATAAAGTCTACATCCATTAAGATTAAACAACCCAACAGTATATAAAGTAGTTTGAAATCACTGGATATTATACGAAATATTAAGAGAGATCATTGTTCGACGTCAGCAAGGAGGTGGTGGAGGGATGTTTTGGGCTGGAATCATGGGAAGTGAGTTGGTAGGCCCCCTTAAGGTGCCTGAAGGTGTCAAAATGACCTCTGCAAAATATGTGGAGTTCCTAACTGCCCATTTCCTGCCATGGTATAAAAAGAAGAACCATGCCTTCCGGAGTAAAATAATTTTCATGTAAGACAACACACCATGCCATGCTGCAGCAAATACCATTGAGGCCTAGGCTGCTATGGGCATTGAGGGAGAAAGAATCACGGTGTGGCCACCATCATCTCCTGACTTCAACCCTATTGAGAACCTGTGGAGCATCCTTAAAAGGAAGCTCTATGAGGGTGGGTGGCAGTTTACCTCAAAACAGCAATACAGGAAATACAGGCAGAAACTGTACATGGAATAACAGGTGCAATGGATGAGAGAGTTGTTAATGTGATATCAAAGAAGGGCTCCTATGTTAATATGTAACTCGATCTTTAAAGAGTTGATTGAAATAGCTTTGATTTGAGAAAAATTATCCCCTCTAATGCAAAAAATACAACAGATTTCGGTTTTCAATCCTTTAGAAACTACTCCCTCACTTAAGACCCACTAGAAGTGTGTGGTGGTGTGTATCTGCAGAGGAGTATGGCCCCATCCTGCAGGGTTGTGCGGAGGCTTCGCTGGGTGTATTTATGCTTTAGAACGTAAACGCTGTGAGACAATCTGAAAATAGCATTTAATTTATCTGATTCACTGCTTTGTTCTCACTAATGTTGCTCCCTCTCCTCATTCATTCTCTACATAGCTCAACCAAATGTGCTCTGGTGGTGCGTTTGCAAACAGCAACGGACAAATCCTGCATAGTATGTGGGTAGGTGTGACGGATTTAGTGGCATCTTGCAGTGCAGTTCCAACTAACTGAATACCGCTCGCCTCATCCTCCCTTCCAAGCTTTTAGGAGAAACTATGGGGGCCACAAAACTCCCTGTTCTTTACCGAGGGCCATTGCTTTCTGACTGCATCCAGGTTGTTTGTAGAGGAATCAATCTATAGCGACTCCCAATGTGGAGAAGGTCATATCCAAAGTCCTCGGACATCCACTGCTGCCAGGGGTTGACCGGGACCACAGGTATATAGTTAGTATACAGTGAGGCTACTTTCTGTATTTGATCATCTCCATTTCCACTTAAAGGACCAGCGTGTAGGACTTAATGGTATCTAGTAGATTGCAACCAAATGAATACCGCTTGCCTTCCAACCATGCCGGAGAAACTAGTGTTTTGTTTGGCCTGTCTGTCTATAGAAACATGGTGGTTCAACATAGTGGAAAAAACAGCTTAGGTAACAAAAACAATGATTATTTTCAGGTGATTATACACTAATGAAAACATACTTAGAATTATTATATTCCCTTTCTGCCAAAAAATCCTCCAAAATGTATCACATTGGACATTTAAGTAAATTTTGCTTATATATTTTTTGCAGGACTAGTTCTGTATAGGATTTTTACAGTGTGGTATTAATACTGCCCATCCCTCCATGTGACTAAATTAAGTATTTAAATTGCTTAAAATATATGCTAGTTCATAAGCATGTACAGCTTAAACAATGCGTACAAGATATAAGAGAAGCCACTCAAGAAATGGTCCAAACAATCCCAGTTTACTCCACTATAGTACACAGTTTACAACAGTTCAAATGTCTTCCTCATCCACTGTTTGTCCTGACCTCAGCTTCATGATCACCTACCAGAAAGAAAACAGAAATAAAGTTAAGTTAATGTTTCAATGCTGCTATCAAACTCTGTAACAATTACCACACACACCTCTTTTAGCTGAGCGATCTCTTTGCTGTCCACGTGTCTCTGAACATTGTTGGTTATGGCTTTCACTCTCGTCGCGTAACTGGAAGGTTCGGGAAGTTCAGGTGTTATTTAGGAGTTTGTTAACATTCAAATAAACGGAAATATTAATATTTCTCCATCTCTTACACAAGAGATGTGAGCGTCTCATCGAGGTTGCACTCCGAAGGAGAGATGTTGACGATCATGAGGGTTTTGGCATTTCCACCCAGCGAGTCCTGCATCACCTGAGAGACGTGAAATACAAAGGTCGCTTAAGAAATCACAAGCAGCTCATTGTTCATTGCTACAAACTCGCATATGATGATTTTCAGCTCTACCTGCGTCAGCTTGCTATTCCTGTATGGTACATGGGGCAGTTCAGAAGACAAGGCTGAGATCACATCACCCAGAGCACTCAGAGACTTGTTAATGGAGTTGGCCTCCTGTAGAGGGGAGGGGGATTTAAAGAGGCCATGAGAAAATATCTTCTCATCTAATCATCCTCATAATTAAAACATACCATATGAGCAAACCTTTAGCTGGTGGTCCTTAGCACCAGTCTTGGCTGCTCTCTCACTGCCTGCCAGGTCCACGAGGCTCAGCTTCCCGGTGCTCACACTCCCATTGGTCAGATTCCTGCTCTCCACCATGATGCCAACAATGAGATGGGAGCGGGAACTCTCCACATTCATCTCTTGGGGAACACACACCACAAAAAAAAATCAAGCTCTGAATAGACTTTTGATTGTTGATGTTCAGATTTGATCTCAAATAAACCTCACAGATGTTGATCACAAATCCTTCACTTGAGAATCATATAAAACTAGGGTGTCTAGGTGCCCCCCTTTATGTGGGACTGCACAGTATTTTTATCCCATGTCCCATGTTCCACATATTGATTGGCTCTAGTTTTCAAAAGTCACAGATGCCTTTCTAAAATTAGAAATCGAATCAAATTTCTGAGCCACCACAAAGTCACAAACTATTCAGATTTAGGTCATAGTCCCGAGATGTAGAACAAAGTAGTTTAAAAATAGCTTTGTTCCAGCAGCTATCATTCAGATTAGAGTTCTTCTGGTTTTTACCTTATTTATTTCAGTGTTTTTTTATTGATCTCTCACTCTAAGTCCTGATTTTTAGAGCCTGGAGCACTTTCATCCTTTATCATGTTTATCTATTGTCTGAGTTGTTGAAACTGAGGTTGAATATGATGGAAACTATCACAAAGAAAAGGAAATGCAGCTAAAACAAAGGTTGTGAGATTGTGGAAGAACTAATAACTGGGTGAAGTTGACGGAAGGTGGTTCGAGGGGGTGTGACATGAAGCGACACAGTACATGTGAGTCTGACAAGAAATGTGTGGGACTGTAGCTTGCATAGTCTGTGTGTCCTACTGATTAACCAGAGGGTTACGTGTCCCACATAATCCCTCATAAACCCTCATGCATCTGGTCACCATGTGTAAAAAAGCAAATCCTCAAATTTGAGAATATTTGGCATTTTTCTCTTGATAAATGATAAATAAATGTCAGAATTGATGCATATTCAAACATTGAATCATCTAATAATACATGTTTATTATTTAAGTAAGTATATTTAGTACTTTAGTATCTAGTTCTTTGCATCTCCAGCTCCCTGTTCCTGTTCCTGTAGGACTGTGTGCATCTATAAAACAATGTTGCTCCTCTTCCTACAGTATGCTGATTCACAGTTTGGCCGCTCTGCCGCTCACCGCCCGCTCCAGTAATTATGTACCTAGCTGCTGTCCCTCACACTGACTGTAACTAACACGATTAATCCAAACCATTTAGCAGGGCCCTGTGTGAACTGGGCGGCATTGCACGGTATAGAGAACTCACTGGTGGCAGAGATGTGTCGGTTGGCGCAGGCCTGCTGGAACAGAGCGTAGAGTTCCTGGGCACTGGAAGCCTCCTTTGTCTCTGCTCCTTGCGCGAACACAACCCCCTTTCTGTTCCTCTTGATCTCCACCCGCCTGGCCTGGCCATGGGACTGAGGCTGTGCGTGGGCCTCACCAGGCAGGCTCACAAAGAGGTCCTGCAGCCTGTCGTTATACAGCTCCAGCATATAGGCCGAAACCTGAGGTAGAAGGAGGAAGACGCACCGGGAGAGAGAGGAAGAGAGTTGAGGGAGACAAGAGATTTTAGCATTATTCAGCTGAAATTTAGTTGTAATATTCTGTCTGTTACCTTGAAGTCGAATTTTGCGCTGTTCTCCCGTATGATATTGAATATGGCATTAAAGGATCTCGGCATGATTCCAGGGTTCTTCTGGTCCTTGTCCCCCACCATGGTGAAGGTCTTCCCTGAGCCCGTTTGGCCATATGAAAAGATACAGACGTTGTAGCCATCGATAGCCGACTGGATCAGCCTGTAGGGGGAAATATATCCTAAACTGCTGAGCTGACAGCATTTAAACATCTGGTTACAGCTGCCACCGTCAGTGTGTTGCCTATTGCAGTGAGTGGTTCCCAACCTGGGGGTCGGGACCGCCACTAGGGGTTGCCAAATCTTTACGGGTGGGTCGCAATTTTAAGGGGTGTCAGAAAACATGAAAAATATACACAGTAGGCCTAATCTAAGCATTTGGCTCATTTCTCTGTAAAAAACTAAATGAAAATGTCATTTTTAAAGTTCAGATTATTATTCAAGATAAGCTCTTTTAATAAATATCCTCGTTTAAACAACCAAAGAGCTGATAGCACAAGTAGAAGAAAACCCTGAATTTGCCAAAAAATAAGCCAATTAAGTTTATATGACTGTTAAAAATCCTATAAAATACATAATACAGACAGAACATTGTATAAATAGTTCCCTAAACAGGAAATAATCTGCTCAAAATGCATCCAAATCACTTGTTTTAAATACATTTCCTGCTGTTATGGAGTTCACTGTTTGGGTTCATTGTACAGTTTTGAATATAAAATGAAATATCCATAAAATATGTCACTTAAGGAAAAAGATTGGGAACCACTGCCCTATTGTATGTGACTGAAGTAACTGTACTTACTTCAGCTGAATTGGCACAAATTTGTACTATAAAATATCAGAATCTACAGAATGATACACACTTGGGGCTCATTATACTGTGTGTGTGTGTGTGTGTGTGTGTGTGTGTGTGTGTGTGTGTGTGTGTGTGTGTGTGTGTGTGTGTGTGTGTGTGTGTGTTCATTCATATATTCTCCCCTCTCACCTGTTGGTGTCGAGGAACAGGTCATCCTGGGAGGCTTCAGCACTGAACACCTTGTCAAACTGAAACTCCCGCTGCCCACGAGGGGGTCTCCACAGTGACAGAGTACTCATCTGTCTTCTCCACAACGATGGCTCCACCCTGCGCAACCTCGGCTCGGTTCGCCGGCCGAATCCGACAAAACACTCTGATTTTACCTAAGAAAAAAAAACCTAAACCTTACTAACAGCAAAAAGAAAAAGAGGGTTTAAACTGAGAAGGCCTCGTTTAATGTTATTATGTACCTTTCATGTCTTCCACCATGTTGTAATACTTCTTCCTCATTGTCCTTTCTGAAGTGTAGTTCTCAATTATTTTCTTTTTCTCATCTTTAACTTGCTTTAGCTTGAGGGAAGAGCATGGTGACACAGAGTTATGACCCTGAAGAATAGATGTAAAACATGTGATCGCTTACTAACATCAAAACATTTAACTTTGTGCATCTGGGAACTTAAAAGCATATAGAAAAGTCACTGGATTTGCTACAATATATTAAGAGTGTATGGCAGCTACATACATTAAAGAACCATTATATAGCAGCTGCAGCCATGATATAAATTATGCTTTTAATTTATCATAAAGGGCAGCTGGTGATATTTCCATCCCTGAGGCCTGACCTGACCTGGGATTTTGATGTGTGTGATAAAAGACCGACCTGATCCTGCAGCAAAAGAAGCTGCTGACCAACACTCTTCACTCCCTCTGTGGTTTGGATTGCCCCTCGTCCCAAGATGTCCTCCAGTTCTGTGACTGCATCACAGTCTGAACAACCATAAAATAAAACCACGGATATAAGTGATGCACCTTACACTCAGTGATGGCAACACTTCTGCAGACACAAAAGTCTGGTGTGTGAAGGTGAGCAGCTTTTAGAGATTAAAATTAACAGTAGAAGGACTGTGTAATGCATGATATGTGAATATATGTAATTCATTTACCGCTGGCTGCAGCATTATAAAAAATATATTTATTTACCATTTATTACAGGACTTTCTCCAGTTTTGAGGCAGTCCAAAGCCAACTGAGAGACCTCGTATCCCCTCACTGCTTCTTGTAGTAAAGACAAAGTTGACTCATATTCATCTGACCTGAAAAAGTGGAAGAAAATAATCTGAATCTGAATTAATATTATATTTCAGACAATTAAAGGAATATATAAATATTCAACACTTCTACATTGAGACTAGCTGTGTGTTATGTCTAACCCCTCTTGGTCAGTAGTCTTATCCTCTCTGCCAGTACTGTCTTCTTTGGCCATCTGTAGACGGTCCAGTTTTTCTCTGGCTTCGACCAAAGCAACCCGATTCTCCTCAATCATCTGGTCCAAAAGAGCTCTGGCCTCAGCCACTGCACTGCATATAACATGAGCCTAGAAAGTGGAACAAAGCAGTCTTTCACAACAAATATATTATAATTAAAGAGAGAAGTCTAAGAAAACAGAATGGACTATTTCCTGCCACCAAAGCAAAGCAGAAAATGCCGTATTTAAGGTCATTAGATGCACATGCAGCTGTAAGTTGGTGTACACACAGTTGAATGGGTTGAGCAGCACCTTGTGTACGACAGTGGGAAGCAGGACGCTGCAGGGAGCCTGAGGGACGGGGGGGACGGGGCTCCTCTCTGACTCCAGCAGCTCAGTGATCTCTCTCTCCCTCTGGTACAGGCTCTCTTTCAGCTCCTCCAGACGGGCTTTAGCCCCCTCCAGTGGCGGATCTGACTCATTGCAAGCCTGCAGATAGAACCACCTTAAAGGGTCAGTACACTCAAGTTGTTGTGTTTTTTTATAAGTTGATGTTTGAGAGATCCACCTCCGAAACTCCTGCTACCATTCAAATACGTACTTAATACATGTTTAATGTGATTATATGAGATTATAGTTTATCCCCTTCTTTGCATATTACGTTTTCTAGATATTGTCCTTCAGGTGTCTGAAGATTTTTGTTGCTTGCTTTGTTGTTATGTTTATAATTTTAGATCATGTACCTCAGGTATGGCTGCCATGGTAACTAATTCCAACCCACCACAGTCTGCTGTTGAGCTGGGAGCTCTTTGTTCTCTGCGCTTTCACTTTCCTCTGCAACTTCCTGCTGCTCCTGTGGTGGTACCGTCAACATTTCTTGGACTTTCCCTACTTCCTGTCGGGCCATTTGCAGCTCCCGCAGTGCTGTTCAGTGTCACAGGGCATTAAAATACTGTAGGTGTTATATGCAAAGGTCAGGGATTTTGCAGGTATGTAAAGGCTTGCAGACTCACTGGAGGCCTGGTGGCTGTGCAGGACATCCAGCCTGTTGGAGAACAGTTCCAGCATTTTGCTCTAAAAGAAAGAGGAACAAAGTTGGTCCAATAATTATGTAATGACATTTTGCTCAAGATAGCCACATGGGTGTGCTCTAGCTCAAAGGAAGAGATAGGAGTTTATGAAGTCTGCCAGATTCCTGTGCAACCTTTTCTCTGTGCCACTGCAGGACCTCCTCTTTACTCCTCCTCCTCTCAGCTCGCTGCTCCTCCAGCAGCTGCTCATTCTGTGCAGTCAAGGCCTGCAGGAAACAGGATGATGCAAGGAGAGAAGCATATAAATAAAGACATAAAGCGGTTTTATTGTTTCAACTCCATCTGTAACGTGTGCACAAACATGACTGATGCATAAAGTCAGATGTTTAGAGTTTGAGTGTAATGGAGAACCAGCAAGAGCTGCAGGAGTTGCAGGGAAATAAGCTTGATATTTAGTTAATAAGGGTGAAAACAGCACAGGGAGCTGGTTGGGTTTGAAATAAAGCACTGAGGGAAAGATTGACTGAAGATCACTGACCGCGACTCTCCTCTCCCAGTCAGCGTTCTTCCTCTCCACCTTCTCCTGGTAGAGGTCCAGGATTCTCCTCAGAGTGTTTAACTTGTTCTGGTAATGAGACCTGATCCTCTGCACAGTCCACTCCTGATCACACAATACGACCTGTATCACTGTTAAGAGTTACATAGATACACACACACACACACACACACACACACACACACACACACACACACACACACACGCCTCCTCACCTGGTTCTCTCGTGCTGTGATCTGAAAGTTCTCCTCCAGCTCCTGCATCATTTCCAGGTGTTTTCTCCTCATTGCTTCCATGTCCTCAGCTATCTGTTTTTGTATACAACACACAAACACACAAACACACAAACACGCACACACACACACATGGGCCTCACATACACAAAATGGCATCCTGGTAGCATGTATTGATCAGATGCCTTGCAGGGTCACACCAGCAGCATAAGGGCAGCCATGTGAGCATAAAGAAGAACACAACACAGTGTCTGACAGTGTCTTCATTGTGTGTCTGCATGCCCTCTCACTGAACGACTGGACAGTCACACGTCTGAAAAATATTCACTGTTTCATGAGATAAAATAAAGGTTATTTAATCTGTATTAGTTTATCTATAATAATCTGTAACACTTTATGATGAGGGTACTTTAATTATCATGACTTCATGCATGAAATAGAATGAATTCATTCATGTAGTACCTAATGAATTTTCAGGAATGTAAAGGAATTAACAGTATCTCATGCAAGATAAGGCAAGAACTGAGGTATTTAAATCACTTTGATTTGTGACCAATTAATGATGTTCATGGGTCAGCAGTTAAAGGGACAGTCATAGCAGTGTATCTGTATTCTGTTGAAAGTGTTGTTATCATGATTAATCATTCATTTTATAAACTAAATATCCTTCTTTAAGGCATTACTGTTTAAGTCTTCTTATTATATTTATGTAAATAAATACACTTATACACGCTGTTTTTTGGCCTGTCCTTTTAACTGCAAGCATCATTAATAACTAAGAAATCACAATTATTGAAATACCATAGTGGTTGCATTAATTAACATATGTTCTTGTGTGTAATTTCCATACATTTTTGACATATTTGCTGAAACTTTCACTAAATGCTGACAGTAGAACATGAGACAGATAATCTGATTATCCGAAAGCACAGACAGCAATCAGCTATCTTTTCTCCGCTCTGATGGGTTGTGTTTGTACAGAAACAGTGGATTCTTACAAATGCAATGCATTAGGAGGGATTTTTCCCACAGATTATCTGTCTCATGTTCTACTCTCAGTATTTAGTGAAGGTTTAAGCAAATATGACAAAAAGTTATATATATAAATGTTGCCTACTGTGGCTCTAAGTCTTGAATCAAGCCATGAGATACTGATCATCTTGTACATTCCTACATAGTTCATGTACTATGAATTCATTCCTTTTCATGCATTGTATGTATGATTTCATGATAATTTATGTACCCTTAATTACCATAAAGTGTACCATATAATGTTTATATGCTCTGGTAGTTTGGTAGTTTGCAAGGAGCTGATTCTGTTATTAAACATACAGCTGTGGGATACATGGCACTTAATTTTGTGCTGCCTTCCTGATACAATGCTCATTATTTTACCTGAGTGACGCAGAGTTCAGCTGACTCATAAGGGATATATATCTTGAAATCCTGTGACCTCTGAGCTTCTGCATCACTGCTATCTGACAGCTGAGATTCTGATGAGCCTGCAGAAATAACATGCAGGCATGGGCTGAAAATGATGGGCAGTAACCTCCAACAGCTTCTATATATACCTGCAGTATCTTTCAACCTCATCATCATTCATCCCCTCTACACACAGTCATCCCTCCTCCACATATTTCATTTCATCCTTTTACAGCACCTCGGATGACCTCTCGTCCGGGGTGTTTTCTGCGATCGGCGCCGATCCAGCGTCTGAACGCATCCCACCTCCTCATCCATAGAGGTTTGTGTTGAATGACAGCTTGAACAACGAAGCAAATGTTGGAGAACAGTTGGAAACAGCTTGGAGAAAAGAAAGAGTAACAGCAAGTCTTATAACACATATTGTTCAATTATCTAATTCATTTGCATTGTAGTGAATGTGCTCTGTAATTAGAATTGCAGCACATGCTCTTTTACAGTAAACAGTGGCAACTTAAACCCTCATAATAATAAATATTCAGTTACATGGTGATAATAGTGTACAGATGAATGCCAAACTCATTTTATTGGGTTGATTAGCTCATACATTGCACCTCCAGCTCTCTGTGCATTTGTGTGTGTGTGTGTGTGTGTGTGTGTGTGTGTGTGTGTGTGTGTGTGTGTGTGTGTGAGAGAGAGAGAGAGAGAGAGAGAGAGAGAGAGAGAGAGAGAGAGAGAGAGAGAGAATGTGTATAATTGGGCCAAACCAAACAAACCAGTAATACATACTGGATTTTTTAAAAATAAAATCAGTTCCCTTGCCAGTTTTTCCAATGGAAAACTGATTTGTTCAGTATAATTGTTTATAATGCATTTAATCCTTTTATTGCACTCACATAAATGAGATTCTCAGAATAAAAAAAAACACATAAATCTCAGAGAAACATTTTATTTATTTGATTTAAAACACGTTTTACATCTTTATGAGGGATTAGCATGCAGTTTATTGTCCATTTACATTTCTGAATATTAGTTATGTTAGTCCCTGTTTATTTTCATTTAAATAAATAAATAATTTATCCACCAGTGAGGCCAAACTTGTGTAAAATGTTGACACATTGCAAATATTTCATCACTCTCTGTCTCTCACATTCCCATCCCACCCTCTCCCCTCTTTGTTTCCTCATACAGGAATGTGGGCGTGCCGTCATGCTGTTACTTTCCTCCCCGAAACACCTTTTAGTAGAAAAACAGAAATGATGTCAGGAATTACAGGGAAAGGTTGTTAGTATAAAAAAATACTCGGGTTGTCTTCTGTCTGAGCTTGAAAGCAGGCAAAGGGTGAAACCCTGAAGGCCTAATGTTGTAAATCTTGTGCAAAGAAAACTACAGTTTACACCTCCAGGATTGCATGTGTGTGTATGTTAGTGGGTTTACTGGTCTGACCTGCACTGCTGTCCTCATACTGGTCAAACTGTGTGTTGTGAATTATTGGACACGGCCTCTCGTCCTTCAGCTCTGGTACACAGCCCGGTAAATCCTCCAGCACCTGCACTGCCACCGGGACCCGTCCAGGCCGCAGGGACACGACGGGGTCCTCAGGGCAGGTAGACCTGTTAGTCGTCTCCCAGGCGACTGAGAAAAATGTAGAAGCAAATTCAGATACAGAGTACAAAGAAATATAAGAATTGTTGTGTTTTTGTTAGCTTAAAATGAGCTGTTTGCAGTTTGCTATGTCAGTAGCTCAGAATGGACAAACACTGGCTCTCGATAGGGGCTTTTGTGTTTTGTGGCCACAGTAGTTCCTCCTACACACTTCACAGTCTGTTCTCATTCCCACGACTTCAAATACTAATAGTGTTCAGTTAGTTGCAATCTGCAACGTCATCACAAGATGCCACGAATGTTGATGGTCGTATGAAGATGAGCAGTTCAGATAAAAAAGAAGCTCCAGCAGGAAGACAGATATTCAGGTAATGAAAACATCTGGACAGAAGATGGTGGAGCTTAAAGTGACATAATGCAGCCATCAGTTCAGTCTTTATATCTTTTGTATACCTCTGCATGCATGCCATTGAAATCTGTAAGAACACACACAAAACATTTCTGCAGCAGCTAGAGTGACACCAGCTGGTTTGTTATCTAAAGATAAAGATAAGTGTGCATACGCCGGCCTATTAGCACACGTGCTTGCAAGGTCTGGTTCTACTGTACCCGGCTGGCCTTCATATCCAGATCTCCAACCAGACCCTGCCAGGAACAATGAGTTATGTTTGTTCTGATACACTGACTGCACCGCTGCTTCTCAACGGAGGCAGCCAAGCAGCTGAAATATTTAAACCTCGTCTAACTTCACCTGTTTATCACTCAGAGCGGCTTATTCTACAACATACAACCTGATATGTGATACAGAAATTAACATTAGTTGTTGGTGTGTTTTACACTCACGTTGCTTGCCTGCAGGGGCCACAGAGTGATGTCTCCCTACTTTCTTTCCCAGGAAAGTCAGTGAATAAGATCCATTGTCAGCTCCAGAAGAGTTTACATACATTGTGTATTTACTGTTTGTGATGTTCTTATATTTGGTCTTTTTAGGAGAGAATTTGCAACTGGATCAAAATCTGCAGAGAAGAAAGGGTTAAAATAATTTTAAGGCAACAGAAGAAGAAAGATTTGAATGCATATGCAACTGAAAATCCCAAAATATTTTAATCTACATTATGAACTCTTGTTCAACCCTCAAACTATTCGCAGATGTCAATAAGCACACACAGCAGATTCACTCTGGGAGTTGAATCCTTTTGTCAGCCTCTCCAAGCTTTTCTAAGCTACAAGCTTCACAACAGGAAAAACTGAAAATCCCAAAGTTTGAGTGTCTTTTTGTTTTTTAAATTCCCTGATTTCACAGTGCTACATAAGAACAAATCATAGGGAATTGGCACAATGCCAGTTCTTTTAATGAATAAAGTGATTTGAATTGATTGAAATATGTGAGCTTCACTGTCATGAAACTGAACTAAACAGTCCAAAATATCCATATGAATTAATCACCTTTAAGAAACTGAAAGAAAAGGCTAGATGAGAAAAGGCCTACCTGGTCTGGGAGCAGATCAGATCCCTCCGGTGTGATTCAGTCCCGTTTCGTGCTGCTGTACTGACCAGGAGGACGCGTCGGTCCCGATCTCTAAGGGGAACCAAACTCTCAACAGTCTTTAAATATTAAACCTGCAGAGATGGAGTTTCACCAGGTACTGGCTTAAACCCCACAGAGCCCGCTGCTGGTAAAAAGATGCCCCCAACAGTCCTCAGGTTTCCTGTGTGTAAGATACAGATTGTAACTGGATGCTCTCTCACACTCACACTCACGTATAGTTCATACACACACACTCACTTCGCTCTCTTGTTTGTGTTTGTTTTCCTGGAGACCCCAAGCTTTCCTCTACTGTTAGAGTCAAGGGGATGGGGTGAAATAGTAGTGTAACAGGAGTATCTGGATATTTTCTTCACGCATGTTTCAGACATTCTGCTTTATATTATCATATAGTTGATACTGTATCTGTAAGAAGAAGTAATTGTGGAATAAAATCAATCTCATGGTCATTGCTGCTGCTGATTAAAGGTATTGTTCTCTCTCTCTGCTGTTCTTGGCAAAGCTCTTCCATGAGGATTTCCTTTCTTTTTTTAGACAAAGAGGCTCATTTGCACTTTTGGACTACAGCTTGAGCATCTGTTTAACACACCTTACTTAGAGATAAATCCACCCATGATGCCACTTTAATGAAAATACAGCTTTGGGCCTTCCTTCCTTTTTCACAATCCAAACCCTGCCCTGACCATATTCGACTCTGGAGTGGTCACTTTGGCAAATATGGAAACAAATTGAGCTGATAAACACATATTTACTGATCATAGGGGCGGCAGCAGCTCAGTGTGTAGGGACCACATTATGGAGTGTGGACTGGTAGCTGGAGAGGTGCCAGTTTCACCTCCTGTCCACTGCCAAGGTGCCCCTGAGCACCTAACCCCAAAAAACTGCTTGTAGGGGGCTGCTAACGTGCTAACATCACTCCACCATCTCTCTGTTTGCATGTCCAAAAGCCCTGCATGTGCATGAGCGTGCATTTCAGCCTGTGTGTGTATAAAAGTAAAAAGAGTGAAAAAGGAATTTCTCAATTCTTAATAAAGTAAAATCTTATCTTTACAGGTTTTTACACCTACGAGGAATGTGTCCTGGTGCATTGGTGCATAAAATATACAAATATACAACAGCAAAAGGATGTCTTTTAGTACGGTGTTATATTACAAAGGTTTTTATGGACGTCATCAAAGGCCTGTGAAGCCTTGATTGTTTGACTGAGTGATGACACAGTATGACTGGGCTCAAACGATGTAGTCATCCCTTTAGACGTGTCATTATCCTGACTGTTAACCTCAACTGTGTGAAAGCATCACCCTCTGTTGAGGCACGTAGGCTGCAGGTAGCGTCAGGCCCACGACTGTGCAGCCATGACAACATGCCACACCTTAAAGACACTCTGTTACCTCATCACACTGAAGGCCGACACTTTAGGTGGTCTTTGCTCAGTCGTTCCTATACAGGTATTGTAGATGTGAATAGGTGAACTAGTTCCACAGATCGATACACAGTGGGGTCGTTTGTTGTCTCAGGTAACCTCCTGATAACATTTTTGCAAGAGGAGAGATAACATCAGGAATGTGAAGGGAAAATATTCTCAACAGTGAGATTCTAGCTATGAAAAGCATGTCCATATACAGCCATAAACACAAACAGTGTTGCTAAGAGTTATGTTTACTTCCACTGAGCTTCCACCAAACACATTAATAGAAGCAAAGTGGCCAGAGTGATAGGGGAATTTTTAAAGTACCACTCCACTCAAAAATCAATTATTCTTGTTGTTGGATGTTTGAGCTTCACTGTGCAGAACAATGAGTTTGACACATTTATCTGCTGAAAGTCTGATTTTAAGGAGCGGAGCCTGGGAACATGTGACTTTACAAATAGTTTGGAAGTGCACAAACACTGAGAATGTGAGAATATGTGAGTTTACAGTGAAGTAGGAGACATCTTGTGTCCAGCAGGAAAACTTTAGGTTGGAATGGTAGATGTCTTATTAAGGATTTTAACATGGAAATTAAATGTGGAAATACTTATCAGACATATATTATTGTCCCAAGCAGACTATTTGTTTATATGTCTTAATACATGTCTGAAGGGGATCTTTAAACTATTGTAGCAAAAGTGTTCAAAATGGTTAATATTCACTTGTAGGAAAAAAAATAATTTATAAAAAATATGAAGCTTATAATAAAATAGATGTCTCAAATTAAACATTACAATAGATATAAATTCCTCTGTAGGAATATATTAGTAATGTTGCATCGAGACCCTCATAAGCACAAAAAGTACAATAAAATTCATCATAAACTTTTCCCTAAGTCCCAGATGTATTCTAAGTATTAGTGATTTTCCACGAAATCCCCATTTTTATGAAAGATTAAGAGCTGAAACTTGATCGGCAGATGTTTTCAAGTAAGCAGCGCGACTGTTTTAAATCTGTCGGACAAACTCTTCCTACTTTTTTTACGCACGGCTGCGGTGGATCTCCGCTGCGCTCTGAGGTGGCAGGCAGCGGTTCAGTCCAATGGCAGCTGTGGAGGGGAGTGTGGGCAGGACCCGTTACTAGGTGGGGTTTATCATGGGTATAAATATACTCTCTGCCTCTACAACGCCCCTGGAAACCTCAGTGAGACTAACTTCTTCCCTCTCAGGCCACACGGTAAGTGGTTTTCATTCGATAGAAATCTCTAATCTGTTCTACGGCTTTTTAGTTTTTAAGAGTTTGTTGAAGTTTGGTGTGAGATTTGATGTCTGTCACTCACTTCTCCTTCACGGTATTGATGCAGTCTCTTGAGGGTGTGGTTGGAAAGACAGCGGCGACAGTTTTTGGATTTACACATTTGACGCAAGTGTTGTTTGAGCTGCTTTAATAATTACGCAGCAGATCTGCCACTAAAGCACATTTAAAAGGAGACCGGATCTATAACCTACCCTATAATGTATTGTATATCCATATCAGAGCTGAGCGTGGGTGTGGCCAAGCAATCTCCACATGCTTGCCATTATGAAAAACCCCCTAACATAAACCTACAGTAAATATGCAGAGGCTTGTTCTCTCCAGGAGTGGATGAAGGAAAAACAAACATGATTTCTTTCTTTCTGTCTTTTTGCTAACAAGTTTTAAATAGATAAGAACGCTACCAGTACAGTAGAATCAATAAAAATGTGATAATGTCTTCTTTGGAAACCAGTGTGTTCAGTGGTTTTATCACCTTCTTTCTTTCTCTAATCAGACTTACAGTCTAAACATTATATCTTCTCTCTTCTCTTCTCTTCTCTTCTCTAATGCTGTTTCCTTTCCCTTACAGACAGACTCCAGCGTCCCACCATGTCTTTCATCAGTGCCTTCTTGCAGCAGACGGTCTATATGGGCATGCCCGATGACTCAGTACGTTTACTCTGTGGTTCTGTTCCAGTTGCTAAGGCCCTGTTTTTTCCTTTTTTTCCTCTTCCTGTGGTATGTTCGGGTGGAAAAATTTACCAGGCAGAGTTTGGAGCGAGCCAGAGAGAGGCGTGTTAGAGGACAGTGAGGGGAAAATGAATGAATGAGTGGGGAGTTTAAAGGTGGAGGGGAGGAAAAAGGAGTGGAGCAGAGAGATAAGATGAAGTGTTATTAAAGTGAAAGGGAGCCTAACGATTATATGCAATGAGAAAGATGACCATACTCAGTCTTGTGAGAGTGTGACTCATAGGAGCAGGAATTTGTGCCCCTCCCTTTATAAACCCTGCAAACAGAACAAAATGCTACTTCTGCTTTTCCCTGATTTCTTAAAGTGAACTAAGTTTCACAAGTTTATCCTGCATGATTTCAGTCTGCGCACTCTGGCTGTTATCCTTGAGTTCAGTCCAACAGGGGCGTGTACAGGCACTCTAAAAGGCAACGTCATGGTCTTTGGAGGCATGAAGGCATAAAATCTGTCACAGTTATCTTCTTTTATGTCTTTGTTTGTATTATACGCTACGGTTTCTTTAACTAAAGAGCACTTTCGCTTCTCAGGCATCTGAAAAATGCACCTTTTGCACCCGGCCTCATGCCCACCTCTGTAAGCAGAAGTATCTACCAAACACACACTAATCTCTGTTCTGTCTCTGAAGGTCCTGAAGAACGAGGGGACGGTGACTGCGGCTGCCAATTTCAGCCCCAATGGCGATGCAGCAATCTTGGACAAGGCCATCAAGGCGAAAGGTGAACTTAAGAGGCAGACAGGGAATCCGTGCAGCGTGTGTGAACATGTCTTGGCTTTGTATTGTATCTCTGTTAGACGTATGACATGCTGGCCTCTGTAAGAATCTTAACTATGTAAACACCTTCTGCTGGCCACAATGTGCCATTGCTACTAACAGAGTCATTGTGGAAGGAAGTCTCACTCTTCTCTTTGTATGGGCCCTCGCACTGAAGTACTCCACTGATTCATATATTCGTCTTTATCATACAGATGCAGAATAATAGAGATGATAACTTTGCTTAACAACACCTCATTTGTGCAGGTGTGGATGAGAACACCATCATCGAAATTCTGGTGAAGAGGAGTAACGAGCAGAGACAGCAGATCAAAGAGGCTTACCAGCAGGCCAGCGGCAAGGTGATTACAATGAAACAGAGATGTTCACCGCCTAAAGTTTGGCATTATGGTCGTCGTCATGCTGGCGGTGACGTACTGCGAGTTGAGCTGCTCTCATTGGCTGCACAGTTTCGACTCTTCCGTAGCAGAAAAAACAATGGCGGCTTCCCTGGTCACACATGTTCTTGTATTACAGATAAACAGGAGATTAAAATATGTTTCTGAAATGATTTTAAGCAGGAAATAGTCAACGCAGTAACAGAATCTTTATTCATATGTGATCAGCACTGCCTTAGACTAGTGATTTATACCATAAACGCATTAGGAAACTGTTAACTGAGCTAATAAATCAAGTAAGAAATCATCTAATTTCTCCATAAGACTCAATACTATCGGCTTTTTTGTGCAGCCAATGCAGCTGCCCCCTGCTGGCCATTACATAGAATGCATGTTTAGGACACCTTGCGTTGGAGACACATTGTTTCAAAAGGCACACACACAATCACATGTGACTCAAACACTATATTTACTGACCGTAGTCTCTGGAATCGGCACTGAAGAACGCTCTGAAGGGAGATCTGGAGGATGTGGTGTTGGCCCTGCTGAAAACACCCGCCCAGTACGACGCCCAGCAGCTGAAACTGGCTATGAAGGTACACACACACACACACACACACACACACACACACACACACACACACACACACACACACACAGATGACTCTACTAATGCTCAGTAAGCACATTTGAGGCGAATGCTTTGGCCTCACCATCATCTGTTTGGCGTGTAGTGACATCCACCCACTTCCACGTATTCATGTACTGTTTTCTTAACAGGTGTGTTTTGTTTGAGTTGGGCCAAGAATAAGTGGTCTTTCTTTGTATCAATCTGTCTATCCATGCATCTCTTTCTCAGGGTCTGGGCACAGACGAGGACACCCTGATAGAGATTTTGGCTTCCAGGAACAACAGAGAGATCCTGGAAATAAAGAGAGTCTACAAGGAAGGTGCATGCAGACAAATTTTAAGCAACAATTTTTTAGTTTCATCAAGCTAGTGTTCATAAATAGAAAGGATACAACATGTGACAATGAGTAATCACAGCCTCTGGGATATGGGGGAAGGTTTAAACATGAAGAAAAGCAACTCTATTTGTGAGTTTTGAACATGGTTTTATATCCTTGATGTTAATGTTTCTTTGATTTCTTTTTCCAAGAATACAAGAAGGACCTGGAGGATGACATCAGGTCTGACACTGGCGGGGATTTCAGGACTGCCCTCCTTGAGCTCTGCAAGGTGCGTGCTGTCACACGCTTGCACCAGGATGCGTTAAGTTCTGAGGCAACACAACACTCCCTGCTGTAGCTGCTGCAGTGACAGTGGTTTATATAAACTAAACAAGCTCACTCCCTCGATACACGCACACACACGCTAACACAACACGAGTTAATAACTGGGCCTTTTATGTCTTCATATCATCTCACAATGGAAAACACAGTACAAACTGAAGATGCTGAACATCAGTTACATTGTAAATGAGGTCAAAAGTTGTATTTTGATAAAATAGGAACTTTTTGGGGTTTTTATTGCCTTTGTTTAATCAAACCAGGGCCGCTGCAGTCAGGACAAACAAATACTTGTCTGCATTAAACAGTCTGGCGGGTAAATTCATCTCGTAATCAACCTTTTTCTTTGTGCTTATTGTTCTTGTTAAATCTTGTGTCCACTCTCTATTGGATGAAACACCAGTTCTCACTGGTGGAACGGTAAAAAGAAAATTAATAAATGTTTTTAAAACCATATAATAATATCAAATTTAATGAGCTTGCTACCTAGTCATGTACTGTGTGCACGCATACCAAGGTTATTATAGTTAACTTAAACTAAACAAAAAACTAAAACTAGGTGTAAAATTTTAGTTAACAGTGAAATAAAGAAAAATAGACCTTAGAAAAACTGACTGAAATTATATTGTGTACTAAATGAAAATATACAGGAAATGTCTTTAGTTTTAGTCTTTGTTAATTTGTCGACACAGCTAGCATGATGAGGCATTGTGTTTATGTTTATTGAGACTGGGATGTCTCTATGACTGTGAGTCAGTGTGTTTTATATTGTAATATCTATTCTGAACTTCCTCAGTCTTGCCCCTGACAAATACTCCCCCATTTTATAATGAGTCAAAGTAAAACTAACACTGAAACTAATAAAAACTAAACTAAAACTAAACATTTTTCAATAAAAACTTAACTGAAGCGAGCAAACCCACTCTGGGGCTGAACTGAAAACAAAAATTAAAAATGGAATAAAAATAAAAACTAATAAAAAATACAAAACTATCATAACTCTGATGCAAACGTCCATGATTAGTAAAGTTTAAGGGCCAGTTCTAGAGCTTCCTGTTTGAACAGTGGCTGGCAACAGTTAACAATAAATAATCTTATTATTAGAAATAAACCTGCTTCCTGTTCCTGAACTGACTGCAGCTATTTTCTGAGGTGATATCTCTCACATTTCCTGTTTGAGTCAAAGTAGAGTAACTCTAATCTTAAAGCTCTTACCATTATTCTCTATTTACATTGGTCATGTTCAGCTCTGTGAAGTTGCCTTTACTCTTCATCACAGGCCGGCAGGACTGAAGGAGTTTGTGAGCAGCTGATTGACAGCGATGCCAGGGCTCTGTACGAGGCCGGGGAAGGGAGGAAGGGCAAAGACAGCTCTGTATTCATCGACATCCTCTTGAGCAGGAGTGCCGCTCATCTCCGTAAAGGTTCGCTGCCCCGCCCAGTAAAGTCAGTTTTTTTGTGCCCTTTGTTCCTGTCAGATCTCACACTCACATTCTCCTCTCCTTCAGTATTCGAAAGGTACTCAAAGTACAGCAAAGTGGACGTGGCCAAAGCTATCGACCTGGAGATGAAGGGAGATATTGAAAGTTGTCTCACAGCAGTAGGTAAAGGCACAAACTTCAACTCCTACTTTATTAAAGGTCCAGGGTGTAACATTTAGTAGGATCTATTGGCAGAAACAAATAAAATATAATATTCATAGGTATGTTTTCATTATAGTATTAATCACCTGAGACGTTTTCATCTACAGACTATGCCTGGCCACCCCTAGTTTGGTGTCAATTTCGATCAAATTGAACACGTTAATTTAGATTATTTTTTTAAATAATGTGTTAAAATTAACACATATTTAATGAGCTGACATGTTAGGCTAAATGATAGGATCAAGTTCGGTGAAAAAAGAAGAAAATGTCTGATTAGGAAATAAAACAATTTATAGATTTCTAATGTTTTTGAGTTCAAATACCTTTATTTGGGTGCTTCTATGTGATTGATTGCCACTCCATGAATATTTTTCTAGATCTGCCCCTGGATGTTTCTACAGTAGCCCAGAAGGGACAAACCAAAAACTGGCTCTCGATAGAGCCGTTTGTGTTTTTGCTGTTTCACTGCCACCATAGTTTCTCCTTTATACTTGGAAAGGAAGTGAGTTACAGTCTGCAACTACACCACTAGAGGCCACTAGATCGTACACACTGGACCTTTTTAACTGAGCGTTCATGCAGTGATTTTATACACAGATTTAAACTTGAATTCATCTTTTAAATAACCACAGTGAAGTGTGCTGGAAGCAGGCCTGCGTTCTTTGCTGAGAAGCTCTACTTGGCCATGAAGGTACTGCATTTATAGGCCCCTTAGAACATATTTAAAAATACATGCAGGATACAGTGCCTGCTGCCTAAGACCTGCAATGACTGACTCCTTTCTGCCCTTCAGGGTAAAGGGACCCGCAAAGCTATCCTGACCCGCATCATGGTGTCCCGCTCTGAAATTGACATGGAACGGATCAAGGATGAGTACAAGAAAAACTACGGCAAAATCCTCTACCAGGATATTCTGGTGAGCAAACATCCGACCACTTATAGTAACAATAAACCCATCCAACATGTCAGAACCTGCTCAGGTTCTTTTGTGGTTTACATGAGTCTTTTATGTCTTTTCAGGATGACACTAAGGGAGACTATGAGAAGATTCTGCTCGCCCTCTGTGGGGATGAAAAATAATCGGCAACCAGTGGGATCAAGGCTCATACAACTGAAGATCCAGCAGCGAGTCCAGCTGTGGAAAATCACCTATAATCTCTTGACACACATTGTGCCCCTGTGCTCTTGTGGAGAACTGACATTTAGAAAATATATAAACAGCAACGATGAGCAAAGATTAACGTGGAATCGGCACTGCTTCAGCAGATATTTCCTCTCCCAAGCTATTCCATTTCATTCCTTATTTCTGCATAGATCTGATAGCAGCGTGCCAGTGGACCAATGCTCTTGGACAGACTTAGCTTCATAATCATTAGAGTCTCATAACTGGTGCTCGAAGACAAGCTGATGTCGCTGATCACAGTGCAGCTGCTGACAGATGTATACAGATCACACAATGTGCTTATCATATTCAGCGGCAGCAGTAGGCGAACCCTTGAAGGAGCTTGGATATCTTGCAAATAAAAGCTTTTTGTATGAAGGCTCATCTGACTGGTTTTGCTTTCTTTGCACATGTACATAGTGTACATGTACTATACACTGATAGTATATGATAGGTACTGACCACTGCAGACCGGGAACATCCCACAAGAGTTGCAGTTTCTAGCCGTCATAATGTGGTCCTTGTCAAAGTCGCTCAAATCCTCTCGCTGCCCATTTTTCCTGCTTCTAACACATCAACTAGAGGACCAAATGTACACTTGCTGCCTGATATATAACGAGATAATCAGTGTTATTCACTTTTACCAATCAGTCATAACGTTATGGCTGATGGGTGTGTACTATTAGTACATTGCATTATATATAAAAACTAGATTAAAACAACAACCTAACTATTATAAGTTAACTGTATATTTGGGCTCAGAATTAACCGCAAATCCATAATACAGAAATCAGGATGTAACACGATTAACACAGAAGTCTCAATGTGCAAACATGAACAATGAATGTAAGCACACATAATGGGTGATAGACTAATGGAATACTGCTACACCAACTCAAGTACTGCACTAAAGTACACATTTAATGTACTTGTCCTTATTTGAGTAATTTCTTTTCATGTCTGTTTGTACTCGATCTACATTTCAGAGGAAAGTTTTGTATTTTTTTTACTTAACTACAACTTTAGTTACTTTACAAATGCATACAAAACATATATAGAGCTTAGAAAATCTGATGCTTTGGAATAAATAACCCAACAGTACATAAAAATATAGCTGATATAAGTGATTTTTATACAGAAACATTTCATGGTTCCAGCTCCACGATTGTGAGGGTTTGCTGCTTAACCTTTTTATTTTTTATTGTTTTAATAATAAAAGAATATTTTTGGGTTGGGGTTTGTACTGAACAAACATCGTGAAGGTGTCACTTCTGAACTTTTTGATGGCATTTCTCACTATTTTCATATTTTTACAGATCAAACAATTAATTAATGAAGAAACTAATCTGCTGATTAATCCATAATAAATAGTTCCACCTCAACCAACTACAACAATAAGATTCTGCTATTACATTAGGTAGTGATCTAATGACAAAGGGGGTATTTTACTGCATTGAGTACTTTTACTTTTAATACTTAAAGTAAATTTTCCTGATTATACTTACATACTTTTACTTGAGTAACATTTTCAATGCAGGACTTGTTTTAAGTATTTTTACAGTGTGGTATTAGCAGGCTTGGGGAAGTAATGGATTACATGTAACTGTTATTTAATCAGGATACAACAAATGGTAACTGTTTTTCTTTAAAAATACACTGAGCAGAGGACACATGTTTTATGTTTATTTTTATTTAAAATCTGTTGTCTTAGAGAATACACTTGCATCAATTCTTCTTCTTATTATTTATTTTCTCTTGTTTTTATTCGCATATTTGGTTTTGATGTACTCCAAAAGTAACGGAAAGTAATCAAGATACATTACTTTCATATTATGATACTTTGACATTTTCTAACAGATAATTAGTAAATGTATCAGATTACATTTTAAAGTAACCCTTCCAACCCTGGGTATTAGTATTTTTACTCAAGTAAAGGATCTAAGTATTTCTTCTCTACTGGTAATAGATTACAGTGTAATATAACGGGACTTTGAGTTGCCAGGTTGGATGAATGTATTTAATTTTCCTGCACTATATTGTAGTAAGTAGTTAAATATTCTACACAGAAAGCAGACACTGTGGATTTTACATTATAAATATTAAACACACACACACACACACACACACACACACACCAGCCCTCGTGGGTTGCCATCCACAGAAAACGGGGGTTTCTGTCAACAGAACCTGGCAACCTCACAGCTCATACGGACCACAACTGTAAACAAGCGGAGCAGCTTCTCTCCGGCGTGCTAACAGCTAGGCTAACCAACTTTCTCTTCCCCACTAACGTACGTGTTGATGTTTATCTCTTAACAGCTAGAGAGGAGAGGGGGGGCTGTTGATTACAAACAAACCCCCCCAAAAAAACAACACTGACAAACAAAATGTGTGTTTTTCTTTTTTTATTTTAAAAAAAGCTGAGATTAGCATGACTGTGAGCTAGCCAGCTAACGGTGGCTAAGTGAGTCGAAACTTGTCTGTCAGCGAAAATGTGAACGAGGTGAAGTCACTTTGTGTTTTGGATTCAGATGAAAATGGTTCACAAGAGACGTGGCGAGCGCTGTGCTGAGTGTGTGTTATGTGAGTGTGTGTCTTTAGCCAGGTTGACTGATAACTGAGCTATAACAGACACATCCTTTTAAGGCTGCTTGCAGGAGCCCCCCCAACCAACCAACCCCTACCAACCCCCTATATCTTTTTACAGGAAGTTCAACACTAATAAAACTTCACACTCTTGTCTTTTCATTCCAGGTCAGTCCATTTGAAGTGCCCCTCCTCCTCCTCCTCCTCTTCCTCCTACCCACCTACCATAACCAGCCTTAATGACAATGACCTGACCAATGGACCACTGCAGGGTCTGCTCAATAAAACCAGAGGGTCACATTTGGAGGTAGATCATGAACGACAAACTAGTCTTCCTGGGCCTGCTGTACTTCGTCCAGGGCATCCCCTACGGGCTCCAGTCTTCCCTGCTCCCTGTCTACCTGCGTGGAGCTGGTCATTCCCTCACCCGCATCGGCTTCACCAAGATCCTCTACTTCCCCTGGGTCCTCAAGGTGCTCTGGGCCCCTTTCGTGGACCGGGTGGGCACCAAGCGGCGCTGGCTGGTGGGGACGGTGTCTGGGCTGGCTCTGACATGCCTCTCCAGTGCCGCCCTGGCCCCAGAAGCGCATATCTGGGGAGTAGCAGGAACCCTGTTGGCCATGAACTCCTTGGCATCTGTCCAGGACATTGCTGTAGACGGGGCCGCGGTGGGGTTGTTGAAAGGTCGTGGGGAGCTGGGGCTGGGCAACACAGCTCAGGTCGTGGGCTACAAAGCCGGATCGGTGTTTGCCGGAGGAGGGCTGCTGGCCGTGATAGACGTGGCTGGATGGAGCTGGATGTTTATGCTGCTGACGTTTGTGTACGCAGGCGTGGCCCTGTTTGTGTGGGGGGCCCCCGTGCTGGACGATGAGACTGTGAGGGGCCAGCAGGCAGATGGCGGCAGGAGGGGAGGGCAGGAAGCGGACGCTATGAGGCCGTGGAGGGTGTGGAGGAAGCTGCTGGCAGTGCCCGGCACACCTTGGACAATCCTGTACGTGCTGACATACAAACTAGGTGAGTCGGATTAGAAAGAAAGCACTTTTAATGCAAGGAATTATCTTTTTACCACAAATGAATCCCATTTTTGAGGTGCTCAACGTGCTCGAAAACTCATGAAATCTGGCACAAATGTCAGTATTTATGAACATTTAGGTGTCATATGGGTTTTGCCTGTGGGCGTGGAAGAGTGGCTCAATAGTGGCCCCTAAAGAGCGGCCCCCTGCAGCACGATTCACCGATATGTATGAGGTTTGGTAGGCACGTGTATGACGTCCAGACTTACAAAAAAGCCTCTTGGAGCCGTCAGCCAATTCATTTCTCTGTGATTTACAGGCATTGTAACTTTATCAAACTTCTACAAAATTAACTAGGTTGACTTTTTGTGTTTCGACATCAAACAGGAAGTTTCTTCATATGTTTGATAACTGTCCCACCCTGAACACATTTACAATCCAATATTCAGTGATTGCCACCTACAGGCAACAGGGAATTACATCTTTTATACTCTGATATACTCCTCCTAGCAGGTCGTCCAGATCCACCTTAAACTGGGTTAGTAAAGCCTTAAGACCTTGATGAAGCTTTATTATGAAGCATGTGCTTTTCGTGGAACGTAGCGTTTAACTAGTGGCCGTTCTCTAGCGGCACATAGTGGACACAGGAAGTGAGATTTAACCCCTTTGTGTTCTGTCCAAAACACATTACAATTCAGAGCCACGTTGACCACAGTTAACCTTTCCTTATGAAACTGTACTTTACCTTTATTTACTTTCAGGGCTGCTTCTAATGGTTATTATATTATTGGTTAATCTGTCAATTATTTTCTTGCTTTAATACCTTAATAAACGTACATTTGACAAATGTCCATTTAGTTGTTCCAAGATGACATCTTCAAATGTCTTGTTTTATCTGACCAACACAAAAACACAAAGATATTCGGTTTACAATTATATAAAACGCAGAAAGTCCTGATATTGGAGAGGCTGAAATGAGAGAATGGGAATTTTTGATTGATAAATGACTGAAACGATGAATACATTTTCCAAAATAGCATTTTCTTTTGAACTACTAATATTGATCCACTAATTTTAACTATAATTGAGTGTTCAAATGATCATGACGGACACCAGTAAAGGAAGAAAGAGATGAAAAACCACAGTAAAGAATAAATAGGAGCACTCCCTGCTCATCTACCTATAAATGGGAGACCAGTTTATCAACTTTTCAGACAAAAAAAGGAAAAAAAAACATATTTTATTAACAATGTAAGTTATATTTCTTAAAAAGGTCCCTTATGTCCCACTGTAAACCTTCGTTTAGTTGTTCCTGCCCTCATGTAGTACTGAGAACTCACCACTAGATGTCTCTGTCGGTGTGTCCATAAGAGACTGAACTCAGGAATGAGTGTACTGAAGAAGTTAGTGAAGTTATTGTTGTTTGACAGCTTACTGTGTCTCAGCAGGTCCTGTATGCACGCACACTGTAAACTACAAGCCCTGCTAAGATAAAGCAGTTGTTTTTAAATGTCACAGTTATATAAAAGTATAAACCTAAGGCACTTGAACGGGAATACACTGTTAGTTTGGATGCATATTGAGTTCACGCAGATAGTTTTGTGTGCAAGTTCCGTAAGAAACTAAAATTTTAAAGTAGTTTTGGATCAGTCGAGCTTGTGTGTGTGTGTGGGAGAGAGAGTTGATATGACCAGAGTTTGGTGTTTGGTAGCAGAAGGGGATTATGTAAGGATTAGAGTGTCTTTGTGTCTGTTGCGCTCAGAAACTGAAATGGAAGACGGCG